CATTCATAAAAATATTTTTTATTCAAAGTTAAAGTGATAATTTACATTTTTTAAATACTTGCTACTTAGCCAAATATAAAGGACGACAGGTCCAAAGTTGCTATTAATGAGCCAATTATTTTGATATGTTTGTTTCCATATTAGCGTGGGTATAAAGTTGGGTTAGGTAGTTCTGCAATCAACCAATTATTTATTTTTATTTATACTATTTTGGTGATACCAGTTTCAGGTTTCATCCCCTTCCTCAGCCACCTCGTCAGTAAACTTATAACACTTTAAAAAAGTCAATATTTGGTTAAATTTTTAGACTTATTAGTGTTAATATTATCAGGAATTTGATCTGCCGTTTTTTGAGCCTAAAATACTTGATTGTTGACCATTATTCTTGCTATACCACACGAAAATAGTATAAATAAAAATAAATAATTGGCAGAGTGTTGAACTATCTAACCGAAAATTATTTTCATCTTTTGTAGACTTTGGCCTCACAGAATCGTACAAAACAACTTTCAAACTTACAACCCAAGCTAAAATTAACTTAATAGCAGTTATTTTAATAACAAATAAGAGAAATAAACCTACAAGAAAAAGTCATAATTGTGTTATTAATTATGAAGTAACTATTAAAAAAATCTAAAGATTGTGATGCCAAAAGTTACTTTAAATCAAATAATGGCTTTCATCCATAGAAACTTTTGGCCTCATAATTACATGACGAATAACTTTCGGACTCATGTGCTAACATACATTAAAGTACAAGGTACATGAATAAATCTAAAATCGGAAACCCAAAATTTGGTCAAATCGAGGCAGTAAAATTCATGTGAATCAATATTCGGTGCTATATATTCAGGCACACCCCCTGTAAAGATTCAGATTTTTTAAATAATACGAAACATTTTGTATCAAGTTAAGACAAAATTAGACTGTGAATGGTAGAAGAATCTGTAGACGCATTCATAAAAATATTTTTTTATTCAAAGTTAAAGTGATAATTTAAATTTTTTAAGTACTTGCTACTTAGACAAATATAAAATACGAGCGTTCGAAAGTTGATATAAATGAGCTAATTATTTTGATATGTGTGTTTCCATATTAGCGCGGGTATAAAGTTGGGTTATGTAGTTCTGCAGTCAACCAATTATTTATTTTTATTTATACTATTTTGGTGATTGCAGTTTCAGGGTTCATCCCCTTTCTCAGCCACCTCGTCAGTAAACCTATGACACTTTAAAAAAGTCAATATTTGGTTAAATTTTCAGACTTATTAGTGTTAATATTATCAGGAATTTGATCTGCCGTTTTTTGAGCCTAAAATACTTGATTGTTGACCATTATTCTTGCTATACCACACGAAAATAATATAAATAAAAATAAATAATTGGCAGAGTGGTGAACTATCTAACCTAAAATTATTTTCATCTTTTGTAGACTTTGGCCTCACAGAATCGTAGAAAACAACTTTCAAACTTACAACCCAAGCTAAAATTAACTTAACAGCAGTTATTTTAATAACAAATAAGAGAAATAAACCTACAAGAAAAAGTCATAATTGTGTTATTAATTGTGAAGTAACTATTAAAAAAATCTAATGATTGTGATGCCAAAAGTTACTTTAAATCAAATAATGGCTTTCATCCATAGAAACTTTTGGCCTCATAATTACATTATGAATAACTTTCGGACTCGTGTGCTAACATACAGTAAAGTACAAGGTACATGAATAAATCTAAAATCGGAGACCCAAAATTTGGACAAATCGAGGCAGTAAAATTCATGTGAATCAATATTCGGTGCTATATAATCAGGCACACCCCCAAGTGTAAAGATTCAGATTTTTTCCATAATACGAAACATTTTGTATGAAATTAAAACAAAATTAGACTATGAATGGTAGAAGTATCTGTAGACGCATTCATAAAAATATTTTTTATTCAAAGTTAAAGTGATAATTTACATTTTTTAAGTACTTGCTACTTAGACAAATATAAAATACGAGAGTTCGAAAGTTGCTATAAATGAGCTAATTATTTTGATATGTGTGTTTCCATATTAGCGTGGGTATAAAGTTGGGTTATGTAGTTCTGCAGTCAACCAATTATTTATTTTTATTTATACTATTTTGGTGATTGCAGTTTCAGGGTTCATCCCCTTTCTCAGCCACCTCGTCAGTAAACTTATAACACTTTAAAAAAGTCAATATTTGGTTAGATTTTTAGACTTATTACTTAGTGTTAATATTATCTGGAAAATGATGTGCCGTTTTTTGATCCTAAAATACTTGATTTTTGACCATTATTCTTGCTATACCACACGAAAATAGTATAAATAAAAATAAATAATTGGCTGAGTGTTGAACTATCTAACCTAAAATTATTTTCATCTTTTGTAGACTTTGGCCTCACAGAATCGTAGAAAACAACTTTCAAACTTACAACCCAGGCTAAAATTAACTTAATAGCAGTTATTTTAATAACAGATAAGAGAAATAAACCTAAAAGAAAAAATCATAATTATGTTATTAATTGTGAAGTAACTATTAAAAAAATCTAAAGAATGTGATGCCAAAAGTTACTTTAAATCAAATAATGGCTTTCATCCATAGAAACTTTTGGCCTCATAATTTCGGACTCATGTGCTAATATATCTTAAAGTACTAGGTACATGATTAAATCTAAAATCGGAAACCCAAAATTTGGTCAAATCGAGGCAGTAAAATTCATGTGAGGCAATATTCGGTGCTATATATTCAGGCACACCCCCAAGTGTAAAGATTCAGATTTTTTCCATAAGACGAAACATTTTCTATGAGGTTAAGACAAATATTGGTGGATTGAGAAATAAATCTAAGAAATAAATTCATAATGATGTTGTTAAGTGTAAAATACCTATGAAAAAAGATCTAAAGACTGTGATGCCAAAAGTTACTTTAATTCAAATAATAGTTTTCATCCATAGCAACATTTAGCCTCATAATTGCATGTTAGGTAACTTTCGGACTCGTGCGCTTCGTATATGTGACAACAGGTAATTAACCCATCATTCCGGGCACAATTTTGTTTTTGGAACGAAGTACTAGATTAATAAATTTAAAATTGGAAACCCGAAATTTCAACACAAGCCAGTGAAATTCATGAGGTGTATTATTTCACGATATGGATTCGTAAAATTTAAGGCACAGTCTCAACATTCAAATTGTAATTGATAGACTCCGGCTTTATCTAGTTAAGTAATTTTATCTTTGTTGTTCAGTAACTGATTTCTGGTTGAATTAATTTTTCTAAATGAAATATTAACATTTTTATTCACTCTATTTAGTATGTTTTTAATTTTGTAAGATAATGTTTCAATAAAATCCAGAAAATAATATCTACCTATGTCTTCCTTAGTATCATGGTCCGTTTTGAACAACGAGCAACATTGTTTTTTTTTTAATTTTGTATCTTATTTTGTCAATTAGATTGTGGATTAATTTTACTTTAAAGTCATTATTTATTGCAATTTGTTTTATGGACTGAAGTTCTTTATTATAGTTTTCATGGTTTAGATTAGAATTGAACAATATTTCAATTAAAGATGCAAAAGTTGATATTTTATGAATCCATAGGTGGTTGGAAGAATTGCAAATAATGTTGTCTGTGTATGTTTTATTGGCCCAATATCTTACAAAATTAAAAACATTCTTGGAGAAATATTAAACACGAGAGGCCAAAAGATGCTATAAACGAAGTCATTCTTTTCATCTTTAGTACACTTTGACCCCATATGGATTCATACAAAACAACTTTCAGGCTCACAGTCCAAGGAAACATTAAATTAGTAACCCTTGTTTTAAGAATACCAAATCGTCTTTCAAATATCGGCGGATTGAGAAATTAATAAATCAAAGGGACAGATTTATAATTATGTTGTTTACTATGGAGTATCTACGAAAAAAATCCAAAGACTGTGATTCCAAAAGTTAATTTAAGTCAAATAATAGTTTTTATCCATAGCAACATTTGGGTTCATAATTACTGCTCCATTAAAATATTAAACTGGTTTTTCAAATTTCGCTTGTTTCTTGGATAAAATAATATAAAATACGAGAGGCCAAAAATTGCTACAAATGTAATTAATGATTATAAAAGAGTATAAGTAATTATTTTCATCTTTAGTACACTTTTGTCACACAAATTCATACAAAACAACTTTCAGGTTCACAACTCAAGCTAAAGTTAAATTAATTGTCGTTGTTTTAAGATTATCAAATTGTGATTCAAATACCGGAAGAAAGAAAAACAAATCTAAGAAACAATTTCATGGTGATACTATTAACTGTAAAGTACCCATGAAAAAAATCTAAAGAATGCGATATCAAAAGTTACTTTATATCAAATAATACATTTCATGCATAGTAACATTTGATCTTATAATTACATGTTTCGGAATAATGAGCTTCATATCTATCATTTCAAGTACAATTTTTGTTTTTGGAAATGAAATTCCAAGTGATTAGAAAATAAAACAGAAGCTCAAAAATGTATGGAAACGATGCATGACGTTCCAAGATATTAATTCCTAAAATTTAAAGCACACCCTTAAGCAAATATCCAGATTGACTCCATAAGTAGAAAAAGTAAATTTCTTACTCCAACTTAAACTGGTATTTTAAAATTGACATGTACGCCTTTCTTGGAGAAATATAAAAAGAGAGGTTAAAAGCTGCTAAAAAATAGTAATGTTTCTTTTTTCGAAATCGCGCAGTAATGTGCTTTTTCTATGTTCAAAAATCGGCACAGAAATTAAATGCGGTGTTGTCATATTAGTATTATCTACCTCCACAATTACCTTTTACAAGGTTATAAATTGTTTTTCGGTTTAGCAGTAATTCTATACTCTTTGTTAACCCTTTTTATTAGTTATTAGAAACACATCCGGTTTATTAATTTTATAAATATAATTTATTAACTAAATTTGCGCGTAATCTCGCAACGTCGCAACCTTGCATGGCAACAGCGAATTTCTTGAAGTGCAGCGACATTCTATGGCAGCGAACAATGTGTATCCACATAACCTGTAATAAGTTTTTGTTCGGTGCAGAAACAACCATGGAAAACGTTATATGGAGAATATCTCATTTTGCATACGAGTATTTCGCTGAAAAAGAAAATTCTGTGAAATCAACATTTTGGGCTACATAGTCGTTGTTAAAATCAACTCTGTTAATATAAAACAGCATAGATATAATCTAAGTACACCAAGTTCTCAAGCAAAAAATATAGGTTATGTTTCCCAGAAATCAAATATATTTACAAGAGAAAACTTACGAAAATTTTTAACAGAGGCCCGTGATTAATGTACCTAATGTCAAAGGTAATCTCAAAGAAGGTCAATCACATTGTCTATAAAACATAATGTTTTAGGTATATTTTTTATTCGAAGTTGTAGGAGTATGCGGAATGGAAGAATTTGAACAATTTTCTTGTATCTACATAACCTATAATAAGCTTTTATTATTATTACAGAACAGATTATTAGCTTAGATGCCCATTTTAAATGAAAGTATGAAGCATACCTCTTATTTTTCGGCACTTTTAATATTTTTGCTTGCAGAAAGATCTGCAGCAATTGCAAAATAGAGATGGATAGCAATAATAACAAGCAGTTTACATGCATTCGACCGAACTTGCAAAAACTGGCAGATAATATATCAAATTTATTACCTAAAAACTCAGCCACAGTTTATGAAAAGCGGTATGAATTTTTTTTTTGCGCAGAAACAACCATGCAAAATATATGGAGAACACCTCATTGCATACGAGTATTTCGCTGAAAAAGCAAATTCTGTGAAATCTTTAACACTTTGGGCTGCATAGTCGTAGTTAAAGTCAACTCTGTTAATAAAAAACAGCATAGATATATCTAAGTACACCAAGTTTTCAAGCAAAAAATATAGGTTACATTGCCAAGAAATCAAATATATTTACAAGAGAAGACTTACCAAAATTTTTAACAGAAGCCCGTGATTAAATGTACCTGATGTTAAAGGTGATCTCAAACAAGGTCAATCACATTGTCTATAAATCATTATGTTTTAGGTTTATTTTTTATTAGAAGTTGTAGGAGCATGTGGAATGGATAAATTGAAAAATAACGACGGCATTCAAGACAAAAACGATACGCTAATAATTAAAATTCCAACGTCTAAAACTGGCAAAGCACGAGAATTTACAAATATGTGTAAAAATATTTATCCAATTGAAATATAGTAAAAATACCTAATTTTAAGACCGCACCATACACCAGACAAATCATTATTTATACATTACATTTGGATAGTGAATGCAGCAGCTGCTGCATTGTACAAATATACCTGCAAACACACTGTAACAAATTGTGCAGACACCTCTTTTGACTAAAAGATATATATTTAACTTTATCCATACGTTGTCAACTTTGTTAATAATTGCAATCTCTAACTTCATAAGAAATATGAATAATCTACTTTGGTGTTTTATAGTAGTATTAAATGTTCATAGAATATAATTGCACTTACTACGAAGTAAGCTTTCCTAGTTTTAAGTTGTTTTCTTTTCTCTTTGATTATCTTAATTTCTTCAGCCTCTATGTGGCTGTTTTTAATTGTTTCTGAATAAACTGATTCATACCACGTTTTCTTTCTTTTACTCGAAAACAGTTTAAACTATAACTCCAAATACAGAGTCATCAAAATTGATTGAGAGAGTTGGTAAACCTGAACTTGAATAATTTGGTTTATTAAGTTGTATAAAAATATTAGCTGTCAGATTTGAAGTTTCAAGTTTCAAATTTCAAAACTCAGTGGCGTCTTTTTTCGACTTTTTTTTTTGGTAAAAACATTAGTTGTCAGATTTGAAGTTTCTAATTTTTGTCACGCCACTGAATTCATTGCCATATAACCTTAAACAAATCTGTCATAAGGTTGACAAACTTCACAACAAAAACAGGGGGTACCAACTCTCTCAATCAATTTTGATGACCCTGTATTTACCTACTTTAAAACGTGTCAAGCATTCGCTTGTTGTAAATGATGCAACCATAAATACAAATTTGAACACTGATATGACAGGTTTGAGGCTAGGATGTGGTTTTCATATTCTCCCATTACTTGTTGCCTAAATCTGGCGCGAGGCCAAAAGTTATTATTGACGTATATATATATATATATATATAAATATATATAATTAGTCGTGAAATAATATTTTTTATCTTCACTTTTTAGTTCATAACCCCCCTAGTATTGAGGAATATATGATGGCAGAACATGAACAGATTTGTCCCAGGACCTTCGGGAAGTAATCGACAAGAAGGCGTGGAGGAAATAGAGACCGACTGGACTGCATATTGTCCAAAAAAACTCTCTCAACAAACTTCCAAAAAATTAAGGGGGAAAAGTAGATGTAAGTTGCATTGTTTTTAAAGTCCACAAAATGAATTCTGTTAATTTTTCAGTTGGAGTTAACCAAGGAAAAAAGTTTATTCTAATCCTGTCATTGAGGCGAAACTTGAGTTCATCAAGCTGCAAAAACAAAAGTTTTTGGAAGAACATCAGTTAAAAATGGCGATATTGAAAACGGAGTTGAGATTGAAGCAAAAACAATTGCGTAATTTTAAACAATAAAACAAAAGTGGAGTCACTAGAGTAGTTTTATTATGAACATCAAGTACAACACTAAACAATTAAAAAAACGTTAAGCAAATCATGTGAAACAATAAAAACAATTAAAAAGTTATATATATCACATTTTATAAACGTGCAAAATAGTTATTTATTAAATTCAAACGAGATTGCAACTGCCTGTGTAGCTAATAATTCTTCATCAACATTGTTTACAATGTTTATTGCTGCTTCTTGTTCAGGGTTTACAGCTGGTAAGATGTCATTTTCATTTACTGCTACATTGTGAAGTACTGCTGTAGCGACAGTAAGTGCTTGAACGGTGTAATCGCAACCCCATTGCCAGACACGGAAATCTCCTTTTCCACACCCCGTAACTTCTTTTGACGACATTCCTGGTTCTAATGAGTGACTCGTTGTATAAATTTTCTGCATTAGAATTTGTATTTAATAGTGGGGTGACCAGATATTTTTTCGGCTGATAAACAGTCATTCCTATTAAACAAAAAGGATATTAATATTTTGATTTGTTAAAAATTAATTTTTACAAAATTACCTTTCAGTGGGATGTGTAATTAATTCCTCTATTTCCTCTATCAAATTTTCCGTCGTTCTTTTCGATAATCGGAGTCTTGCAATGAAGTCAGTTTCATCCCATTCTTCAAAATGATTTGGTCGATTCCGTATTATTTTTGGCCGTCTGGGAAATTGTTCTTCTGTTCTTCGTCACTACTATATGCATTAATGTCAAAATCCATAAGGTAATCCATTACAAGTATAAAAGTAAAGAAGATAATCCAACACAAATTACACACAGAATTTAAAAGCACAGAACAGTTTAAAAGGTTAATGTCCGCGACTGTCAACGAAAGTGACGTCAGAGTGACGTATTTCATCATGCGCCGACGTACAACTTCTAGTCATTTCATTCTCCAAGTTAACCAGCAGTCGAAGTGGTGGTCAAGGAAACTAGTAGTTAACTTCATAACCACGCTTTGTAAAACTCATTCAAAAATTTAACTTGAAGTTAACTCGAACTTGATAGTTAACTATACATTGTAAAACCGGGCCTTAGAAATATAAATACCTATTTTTATCTCTGTTCCTTGACAAAGGGGAATGAGAATGGGAAAGTATGAAATTTTTCCTGTTACTTTGTTTGATTATAAATTTACAATCTCATAACTTTGCTGTGGCAAGTTTGGCTTTTTCGAAGCTTTAGTGTTTAAAATATTGTGTCAGCCGATAATGGGTTTTGTGCATTTATTACGAGCAGCATCAACATTTCTAGAAACCCGTAAGAAATATTTATTAATGTTTTTTTAAATTCACTTTTAAAACTAATTTAAACAGATTATAATTCTTGTGACACTGAAAAATGTTAGCAAACTGAAAGCTGCTTATTTATTTGTTTAAAAAATTAATAATAAAAAGGGTTAGATACTTGTGGTAAATTTTTAATAAAAGCGCCAAATTTTGAAGAAATAAATCCCCAGCTCCAAAAATCTTTGCAGATTCCAAAAGAAAAAACATTGACAAGAGCTTCTATAAAATTTTATTAATTAATTTAAAATATTTCATGCGCATTGTCCTGAACATAAAATATAACACAGAAGTAAAAGCGTAGACAAAGCTTAGTGATAAACAAATACCACTTCTGTCGGGTTTTTCAGAAAATTTGTATGTCATAAGATAAGCCACACTAGTGACGTCAGTTATAGGCTATAATTCTGTAAGTGTCGCAAGAATTTAGTTTAATGATATCATATCATTTATTTGTTAAGTCGAATGATTAAATCTACAACACATTCTTGAGAAGTTAATAAATCCTTGACAATTTAGCTAGCAAGGTTCAAAAACTATGATAACTTACACACTCAGATAAAATTGCGATATGTGGCCAAAAATTATAAAACCCTCGCAAAGTTTAAAATTTGGCCATAAACTATCAACAAAATGGGGTACTTACGTTGTGTTTTAAAATGGCCCAATGCGTTCGAATGCAAAACGATTTTATTATTCAGCAACTTAAGATAAAAGAATTTAAATTTCAAAATTCAAGTTTTTTTTAACTTAGACTTGATAGGATTTTGGATTTTTGGAATTCCAAATTCCGCGATTTTTAATCAGCGTGAAATTAAGAAAACTGAAATACGTAATCCTGAAACGACAAAACGGCCTTTCCTTAAATTCCGAAGTTGCAACTCTAGAAATTCAAAATCATGAAATTCTGAATTCTAAATTCTTAAGTCCGGAAAGCCTGAATATTGACACTCTAAAATTACGCAACCTGCGGTTCACAGTAAAGCAATCCTGTGATTCTCGAAATTTAAAATAATAAAATGTGATTCTCGAAATTTAAAATAATAAAATCCTCAAATTTTGAATCTTGCGTGGGAAAAATTTTGAATGCTGAATCTTGAAATCTCAAGTCCTTAAATTATAAATCTTGACGCTTTGAATCCTGAAATTATGGAACCCGAAATACACGGTCGTGAATTTTAAAACTGACTGTTCTGAAATGCAGAATAGTTACTAAAATCCGCAGTTGAAAAATTTACAATCTTGAAACTCCGAATTCTGTAATTCTAGATCCTTAAATCCTGAACATTTGAAAACGTGAAATCATGGAACCTAAAACAATAAATCTGAAATCTTAAAACTTTGAATACTGAAATCCTTAATATTAAAATCCTCAAGTGGTAAACCCTGATATTTTGACTACTGAAATCCTCAATCTAGTACTCTAAAGCCATCAGGATACGATATCCAGTGGCGGCTCCTCAGAGGAGGTAGGGGAGGCTGAGCCCCCTCTGTTTTTTGGAGCTGAGCTTCCTCTAATTTTTTTCGATGAAAGCATTTATATTTTTGTAGACATTTGTTATTTTTCAGAACATTTTGTTGGATTTCATTTACTTTCATCATATATCAGGTTAAAATGTCGAAAAAATATATTTGCGCCCTCACAATCATAATTCACACCACTCCGCGTTTGACTTCAGCGCCAGAGGCTTGCTAGCCGCTAGCCTCCGAACGACGATGCATCTGAATAATGAGACCGTACCCTTGACGCATCGTCAGTCTCTATTGCATTGGCTAAAACGTTGATCGGACTGCCGCTCCAAACCGCTAGCCTCCGGCTAGTTCATCTCTTTTCAGATCAAGTCGTACAGATAACTTTATCTCTTTCTTATTAGTTGGCGCAATCGGGTGTAAGTAGGAAAAACTTTGAGGTGGTTTCGCGAGCTCCCTGTTCAGTGATGGTGGTGTTTAGGCTTTACGTAGGTAAGGGTACAAAAGGGGAGACCAACACCATCACTCCCATTAATGGTATTGACAGTTACAATTAGAAACAAAACAGAGCAGTTCATGAAAATAATTATAATAAAACTAAATAGTTAACGGCTTCGGTTTTAAGAAACAAATTATACTGCTGGAATTGTGTACTTATTATTTATAAGTGATAAATCTTCCGTTTGGGGTAAAACAGGCTATAATAATTTACAAAATTTGTCACGAGCTATAGAAAGGCATGAAAAATCATAGGACCACATATTTTCTTCGATTAAATTAGAAATGCTTGGTAAACAAAACATTGCCAATCATTTAGATTCGGCTCATGAAAGGGAGAACTATTACGAGAAAGTTGGTGAAAATTGGGCAATTTTGAAAAGACTAAGCGATGGACTATAATTTATCTGTCAACGCAAGAGTGTTCTTTTCGTGGACATGACGAAAAAAATTATTCAGATAATAGAAGATATAAAAAGTAGTGCTTTTCAAATTTGAACCTCCTCTGAAGAAAACTTCACGAGCCGCCACTGACGATATCTGAAAAAGCTGAGAGTACGAATCGCGAAATCCACAATGCTGGAATCCTAAAATTGTGAATTCTGAAATCTCGACTTCTAAAATTCTAAGTCTGTACCCTGAATCTTAATAGTTTGATTCCTGAAATTTACAACTCCTAAACGTCCAACTTAAAATCTGTAATGCTCAATTCTGAATTCTAAGAGTAAAATCCAAATTCTGGACTCTCTCCGTTTCACAATTTATTAAAGTAAAGAACATAAGTAAATAATAAATAACTATATATATAAAATATAGTACAGTACACGTAATAATAATCAATTAAACCAAAAATCAACAACGACTTTTTGTATTATGTGTTCCCTAATAGTTCTACCAAACCACGAGCTACATAAACAAAAACTGCTCCAATTCCCTATAAAAAATTTAAGGGGACTCGCTAGACGAGGTGTAACATTTTATGGTTTTTTGTATGAAAAAATGATATTAATATAGATGTATCATGCAGTTTTTTCATATTCTAGACCACAGAGATCAGTTCAATCAATCAAAAAAAATATGGCTGAGAAATATCGTAAAAAAAGCACCATTGTATGTTTTCTTTTCAAGTTTTTTTAGTCATAACCATCAAAGTATCGCTTGAAAATTCGCACATGGACAAAGTATCACTTTTTACAGGCCACAGAATCATTAAATGTTTGTTAGTGGTTTAAATAATGATGTGTTTATTAAAATCAAAATATATCACAAATTAATGGAAAATACGTCGAATAATTTTAATAGGAATATCAGAGGAAAATTAATGATATAAGGTTTCACGTAACGATGTAAATTTACAGTAGACATATTGGTCCTATACAAATTTTATCACCCCGCTTTAACCCCCTTAGGGGATGAATTTCGACAGTGAGTATAGATGTTAAAAGAGAGGCAACCTTATGGACAAGTGCGGGGCTAATGCTCCGTCTTACCCCTCACTTCACTTCATCCACAAACGTAATAGTGGATAGTGGCTCTTCTTCCTTTTTTCTTGTGAACTACTAGTAGTCTGGACGAACACCAACTCATCAGACTTGTGGCCAGTGAGATTACGTTAAAGCAAAATAGCCCATCCCCAAATGAACGGTGGACTGGTGAAGAAAGATTTTTGTCCAATTTTAACCAAATTTCAGCTTTTCTTTAATTATTATTGTTATGGTAAGCACATGTTGACAACATGCCAGTAAATCCCAATTTTTGGAGGATGCCTGGTGTATGCGTTTAAATTCATCCTTTATTTAAATAAAAAAATGAACGGCCATTATAGTAGATATAGTTATTATGATATTTTTATTATTTTATTCAATTTTGACATGTAAACAATAGTAGATTGTTTTATTAGGATTAAAAGTGCCATTTTTTGCGACGAGCAAATTTTGCATTTGCGAGGCGGAGCGAAGCGAAGCCGAGCGGATGCAAAATTGCGAGTCAAAAACTGACTTTTAATCCGAATGAAACATACTACTTTTTCGCCAGCCAAAAAGTAAATCTCAAAAATACAAAATATTGATAACAATAATATCGAGCAGAAATGAATCAATCTGCAAAGTAGTCTGGTATCCACGTCGTCAAGGCTTTTTTTGTTTGCTTACATACCATTGTTTTGTGAAAACGTTTGCAGTGTTAATAATGAATCCTGAAGAAGAGTTACCTCCCGATGTGCTAGAAGAAGCACAAAACGTGGTACTGAACTTGTTACCAACAAAATCGCGCGAAGTGTATGAGTGCGCGTATACCCGCTTCATCAAATGGTGCGAAGGGAAAAAGATTCAAACTTATTCTGAGAACGTCCTATTGGTATATTTTTCCGAATTGGCTACAAAAATGAAGTCATCCACACTGTGGTCGCAGTATTCCATGGTGAAAGCAACTTTAAATATAAAAAATGGCATAGAAATCGGAAAGTATTCAAAATTAAAAGCGTTTATAAAGAAACAAGGCGAAGGATACGTTCCAAAGAAATCAAGGGTTTTAACTAATGAACAAATAGAAGTTTTCTTAGACACGGCTCCGGATTTCAAATTCCTGATGATGAAAGTATGTTTATAACCTAATGAAGAGCTTATATTTATTTTACGAATTTTTTTCAGATTGTTGTAATCTTTGGCGTTAGCGGAGCTTGTCGGTGTCACGAACTATTACAAATAAAAACTGAAGATATTGAAAATATTAAAGCAGGTTTATTGGTAAAAATTCCTGATACCAAAACGAAAAAACCCAGATCATTTACGGTTATGGGGGAAAAGTATTTGAAATTTTACGAAAAGTATGTTGCGCTTCGTCCAAAAATGTTTAATGAAGGTCGGTTTTTTATTAAATATGTCGACGGAATGTGCCATCGACAAGTAGTTGGCATTCATAAAATTAGTGGTGTACCCCAAGAAGTAGCCAAATATTTAAAGCTAGAAAACTTTAAAGAATACAGCGGACATTGCCTACGTCGGACTTCTGCCACGCTTTTTGTGGATTCTGGCGGTGATATTACGTCCCTCAAGAGGCACGGTGGGTGGAAATCTGACAGTGTAGCCGAAGGTTACATAGAAGAGTCTCTTAAACACAAAAAAGATGTAGCAAAAAAAATTTTTCGTTTGGAAGAACCAGGTACAAGTAGTGAAACCACAAGTAAAATACATGAAGACGCAACGAATAGGAATGTGAGCGAAGTAAACCTAGAAGAATCAGGTACAAGTAGTGGAACTACGAATAGAATGATCACACGTGAAGACGGAATAAGTAGGAATGTGGGAGCAGTAAACCTGAATTTTGACACTGTGACCAACCAGACAGCAGGAGCGGTAGAAGTGTTAGCGCAAAATATTATTACTGACCGCATGAAAAATGATAATAGTGACGGAAAATCTTTAATCCAAATCAATCGCAGTTGTTCTTATTGTACATTCAATATTAATTTTAAAATTTAAATAATTAATAACAATGTAAGTTAATAATAAAATTGGAAAATATTAATAGCATTTCATTCTCAAAATAAAACAATTGAAAACTTTTTAAGGCTAGGATTAAAAAAAAAAATTAATGCTAGGATTAAAAAGGCAAAAATGACGTTGTTACTTTAGTAACGCAACTTTTTTTTACTCTCACAAAAACGTCAAGTTTTCCGTCCAAAATTGACGTTAAAAGTGACATCTTTTAAGACGGCTGGCGAAAAACGTTTATTTTGCCGTCAGTAGGCCACTAAAGCTTTGGTTTATCCGGTAGCACCATAAAATTTTTAAACCGCTAGCGAAATAAAATTTTTATTTTGCTGTTTTAAAACCATGGTTACCATTTCTGTAATTTCTCCAGTGTCTTGCTGCTCTTTCCATCTGAGGAATTTTTGATACACTTTCTGATCTGGTCTTTTCTGGGAGCAAGTTTTGTCGTTAGAATCTTGCATGATTTTGCAATTTTTCGATAATTTTAGTTTGTTTAAAATAAACAAACACCGTCGCCAGAGTCACATACTACACACACACACCTGATATTGTACACTAAATTCTACGTATATAAAACTTTTATTCAATTTTGACATGTAAACAAACGTTTATTTTGCCGTCAGTAGGCCACTAAAGCTTTGGTTTATCCGGTAGCGCCATAAAATTTTTAAACCGCTAGCGAAATAAAATTTTTATTTTGCTGTTTTAAAACCATGGTTACCATTTCTGTAATTTCTCCAATGCCTTGCTGCTCTTTCCATCTAAGGAACTTTTGATACATTTTCTGATTTGCTCTTTTTTGGGAGCAAGTTTTGCCGTTGGAATCTTGCATGATTTTGCAATTTTTCGATAATTTTAGTTTGTTTAAAATAAACAATCACCGTCGCCAGAGTTACATACTACACACACACACCTGATATTGTAACCTAAATTCTACGCATATAAAACTTTTATTTGGTCGCTGTCAATTCTGACGTTTCTCGAATGTGAACTTTGAATCACCAATTTTTTCACAATTTGGGACTTGGGGTTGTCAAAATTGAATAAAAGTTTGTATTACACTCGCGGTTAAAATGAATGTGTAACTCGCGGTCTTAAGGCGCTTGCGGCATACGCCGCTCTCGCCTTAAACTGACCGCTCATTAAACATTCACTTTAACCGCTTGTATAATAAATAACTATTATTTGGTCGCTGTCAATTCTGACGTTTCTCGAGTCTGAACTTTGAATCACCAAATTTTTCACAATTTGGGACTTGGGGTTGTCAAAATTGAATGAAATTTTGTATTACACTCGCGGTTAAAATGAATGTGTAACTCGCGGTCTTAAGGCGCTCGCGGCATACGCCGCTCTCGCCTTAAACTGACGGCTCATTAAACATTCACTTTAACCGCTTGTATAATAAATAACTATTTCAGTTTTTCGACCGTTTTATATTTCGATTTCTCAATTTTTCAACTTCTCGATATTGTAATTTTTCATTTTTAAAATTCTAGATTTTTCGATTTCTCGAGTTCTCAGTTGTTCTATATTTTAATTTTTTTATTTTCCCAATTTTTAAATTTTTGATTTTTCAATTTTTGAGATCCCGAATTATCAATTTTTCCATTTTTAACTTTTCGATTTGTCGATTTTGGCCTATTTCGGTTTCTCAATTTTTCAATTTTTCGACTTGTCGATTTTTCGACTCCTTGATTTCTCCATCTTTTGATTTTTCGATTTCTCGGTGTCTCAGTTTTTGAATTTTTCGATGTTTCGATTTGTTGGTTTTTGATTTTTACTTTTCGACTTTTCGGTTTTTCTGTGTTTAGATTTTTATATTATTCGATTTTTCAGTTTTCCAATTTTTTTTAGTTTTCGAGTTTTGATTTCTCGATGTGTTGAGTTTTTAGTTTTTCGATTTTTATATTTTAGATTTTTCAATTTTTATTTTTTTTATTTTTTGATTTTTAGATTTCTCCATTTTTCAATTTTACGATATTTTAATTTTTCAATGTTTTAAATTTTAGACTTTTCGATTTTTCAGTTCTTCAATATTTTTTAATTTTTCAATTTTTGACGTTTCAGAATTTTCAGATTTCTGATTCCTCAATTAATCTACTTTTTTCGACTTTGCTTTTTGAATTTTTGATTTCTCAATTTTTCAATTCTTTAACTTCCTAATTTTTGAATATTTTTTTTCAGTTCTTCTATCTCAATTTTTCAATTTTTAGAATTTTTAAATTTTTGATTTTCCATTTTTTTTATTTTTCTATTTTCCATTTTTTTTTATTTTTCGATTTTCCGTTTTTTTTAATTTTTAGATTTTCCATTTTTTTTGTGGGTATCGTTGGTGATTTTTAGAAAAAGCGACGGTTACGGTTTTCAGATTTTATTTAGTTCTTTTTACTGTTTGAGTTTGCCCAGGGAGAAGAAGATCGAAGGGTGTTTGAATGGTCGACAGGTAGGCTCAGTTTCAAATAGGTGGTAGTAGGTAAAGAAAGAGTTTAGAAAATTCTAGAAACGGAAAGAGAAAGTATGTAGGAGCGTAGGGCAGGTAGACGAAAGATAGGACGTATTTACATTTGTACAAAGATTATGAATGCGCTCTGGTAGAACACCTGATTTTGTGGGAACGGTTGTTCCTACATTTTAATTTTTCGATTTTCCACTTTTTTTTAATTTTTCAATTTTCCAATATTTCGTTTCTTCAATTTTTCAAATTTTTGATATTGTGTTTTCTCGGTTTTTAAATTTTTCGACATTTTAATTTTTCAGTTTTTAAAGTTTTAGGTTTTTAGATTAGTGAGATATCTCGACTTTTCGATTTTTCAGTTCCATGATTTTTCAATTTGTCGAATTTTTAAATTTTAGATTTTTTGTTTTCTTTAATGTTTTGAGTTCTCGATCATTCGATTTTTTGAGTTTTCAGGCTTAGATTTTTGTTGTTGTTCAATTCTTAGATTTTTAAAATTTTTATTTTTTAAATTTTCCTATTTATCAGCTTACTGGGATTTCAATGTTTTGATTTTTTGATTGTTCAATTTCTCGATTTTTGAATTTTTAGTTTTTGATACGATTTTTTTTTCAAAAATTTTCAGTTTTTCAATTTATTAACTTTACGATACTTCAGTTTTGGTCGATTTCGATTTCTCAATTTTTCGACATATTACTGTTGGGATTTTTCAATTTATCGATTCTTCAATTTTCCTTCCATTTTTCAGTTTTTCAATATTTCAGTTCTGGGATTTTGCAATGTTTCGGTTCTTCAATTTTTCCATTTTTTGATGTTTCGATTTCTCGGTTTTTCAATTTTTCGATAGGTATTTTAATTTTTCAATTTTTAAGTTCTAGATTTTCCGTTAATTTTTTTGTTTTCCTTGATGTTTTGATTTTTCGATTATTCGATTCGATTATTCAAGTTCTCGGTTTAGATTTTTTGGTATTCCAATTCTTCGATTTTTAAATGGTTTAATTTTTAGATTGTTCAATTTCTCGATTTACAGATTTTTCAATTTTTCGGTTTACGGATTTTTTTCATTTAAAATGTTTCAATTGTTCAATTTTGGTGTAATTTGAAAACGGTATTAATAATACATTTAGGCGAATAAACTAATAGACGGGCTTGATAAGCCATTGTTTGCTCTACAGTGTCTAAATTGTGTTTGAATAATATAATAATTATCTCGAATATTAAAATTAATATGTCAAAAGAATACGAGAAATGATTATTCTGTGCTGAAGGTATGTTGTGGGCCGCCTGTCATAAATTATCATTATTCTGCATTATCGGCTTAGGATGTTTTTATGACCCACGTCCGGTAGTCGTCTATCCCAGCGCGTCAGGTAGATTTAAAGAAGAATTGCTGGTTGCGTTTAAGGCAACAAATGGCGCCCAATTCAAACTTGTCTCTCGTCTAGCGTTCCCCCTTAAGCAGTGTGTATTGCTGAAAATTTGGCAGAAAAAAATATTGGCTTTCACAAATTGCGCCGTGTTAAAACAAAAATTTGTGAAGCAAGTAGATATGTTGCAAATCGTACTCTATAAAGTTGTTTTATAAATGTTAACAGTTGCATTTTTAATTCGTCATTCAATAATAAAGTTATGCTAGTTTGAAACTTGCGCAGATTTTTGGTCCCCACACCCTTATTTGATTCGAGTCGCAAAGTGTCAGTAATTTTCCGCGCCGTCCGACTTGTTAAATTTCAAACTAAAACGGCTGCAAGAGCGATTCACTTACAGTAGTTGTGTTGTACAAGCTCAGACAACAACCCGTAAAATGGTATTAGTAACAACCATTGAAGGTTAGAGGGCTTTTGTCGCATTTTGGGGCGCCATCTGACCGCCAATATTAACTCACTGGTACGCATAAGGATACGGGGTTGCCGGTCTTTTAAATACATAGTCACTGATTTCGAGAAATTTGTTCTTAAACGCTGCGTCCAGTATAAAATGAACATTCTCTCCAAATTTCAATTTTCTAGCCTTAGCGTTTTGGGCTGGGCGTTGATAGGTCAGACGGGACTTTGTCTTTTATAATAAGTAATCTATGTATAAAGATTATTGGTTTTTCTAACGCTGCAAAAGATACAAAAATACATCTATTGATAAAGTTGAAGCTGTAAGCGGGAATTTTTAACTATTAAATAACAAAATTTGTCATTGCGAAATCAATTAATTGTAGATAAGATTTTATCAATTTATTAAGATCAATAAATAATTTAAGAGCCTTTTGTTAATTCCACTCTCAAAAAATGAGTAACTGTTTTAATGTACATCCACTGCGACAATGTCTTATTTTTTAAAAATGTAGCTCATTTTCCTAGCTGCAAACCTTCTTGTCCTGCTCTATAAGAATATGTTTACAAAGTATGAATTTGTCACAAAATGTTTCTTAAATTAAAAGCAAAAATATTGAGTAACATCTTTTTATTTATTTTATGAAATCAGGGACATGTGACTCCTGTTTAAGCTGATGGAGCTTATTTTCCTAGTTACAAACCCTCTTGTCATTTGAAAATATAATATTACAAATCTGTATCAGCAAACGTAGTGAGCGGAATTATGCATGTGTGATCGACTACATTACCAATTTTTTTATTTTTCTAATACGGTTTCAAAGCGTTGCTGCTTTTTTGGAGACAAATATAAATTTTAATTACGGGCACCAAAACAGTTTGCGCGACGTTCTGTGCTCCTTTCAGTTTCCTCGTTTCTTGTACAGGTGTTTCCAAACAGTTTTTGCATTCCACGAGCTACATCATCAAAAACTGCCTCAACTCCCTTCAAACTAAATTAGTTAATTTCATTTAACATGATGTTACTCCAACAACCTCCTGATCTTGTTTTGTTGAACATTCGTGGTACGAAGCGCCTATATCTACTTGTGGCATATTGGTAGGCTTCGTTTATAGTGACCTAGCATTTTTTTTATTTTCAATAAATAAATAAACAAAGTGAAAGCGATATACATATTTGTCTATTTTCTGTTAAATTCATTTTGTTTCCTAACACACATAAGACCATCGGACTTTCGACATATTTTTAATTCGGCAAACCATTTTTTTTTGTACCCTTTTAAATGTTTGGTGTGAAGTGACTATGTTTTTAAAGTATTCTTAACCGGAAGGATCCAATATCTTAAATGTCATGGTTATTATGGTTTTTATACTTGTAATTTGACGGTGATAATATCTATGACAAGTTCATAAACGAAAGAAGAACACCCCAAAGTTGGTGTAGTGTTATTCCGGAAAGACTTTTGTACGTAAAAAGTAATAGTACTAGCTTTTCCCACACCTAGAAATATAAAAAATGTATATATGGTTAATTCTAATGTTAATATAGATTGTATGCTTAAGATACCTCTGATCACCCAAAAAAATTACTTTACGATTGATGGTTTCCATTTTAAACAAATTAAAATTAAAGTAAAAAAACCAACACTTCACTTTGAGTCTAGCGATTAAATGAGCAAACTTGTCTTTGTGAAAAGAAAGATAGATGAGATTTTAAGATTAAGTTATTCACAATCTACAGTTTGATTTTTCCAATTCTCTTAAATATACGTAGGTATATACTATGGTGGAACGAAACAGTAACTTCACGACGAACATTTATATTTATTTGTTCCTATATTGACAATATTGAGTGCTCGTCTTGGCGCAAAATTTAATTTTTAAATCGGGACACCATAACATTTTAATGTAACAAGACTGCTGACACAATTTGGTTCCAAACCAGGATAATTTTTTGCGTTACCAACTACATTTGCTCCACTCGTACAGCAATGGATGACGATACTATGTATTTCTAGGGGCTATACATAAAAATTATACAAAAGTCAACAATTACATTGTGACTTATCAGGACCACCAGGGGTTGGAACTGCATTGTTCCGTGTGGAAGGGCCAAGTCTTAGGTTCGTTAATAATATATTTTCTGTGTTGGCTCCTGATCGTACCTCACTAGAACCAGTTATGTTCTCAAGTAGACTTATCATACGACTAGCTACATCATCAAACACTTCTCTAATTCCCTTTAAAATAAAAAACTTAGTTTTACTAGCTTTACACTTCTTAAGCACTACTTACCCTACCTTTCTTCGCTGAACATTCGTAATAAGAAGCACCTATACTTTCAGCGTAGTACTGGGCTTGCTTTTTTGTGACCTAATATTTTTTTTTGTTATTCGTAAATAATATCAAGAAAACTAGTACATACATACTTGTCTTTGTTCTTCTAAATCAGTTTTGTTTCCTATCACACATAAGACCATCGGAGAAATATTATCTTTCAATTCTGCAAACCATCTCTGCATTTTTTCAAAACTTGGCTGTGAAATGATCTCAAAAACCAATAAGGCGACCTTGGCATCGCGGTAATACTGAGGAATTATGGAGTGGTAGCGTTCTTGATCGGCGGTATCCCATATCTTAAATGTTAAAGTTTATTTTTTAAAGGAAGTAGAATTGTGTAGAATTTTTACGTGTAATTTGAGAGTCCAATCAACGATGTCATGTATGACATGTTTACAAGTGTAGAGATCACACCCCACGGTTACGTCCACGTTATCCTTCAAAGAATTTTCAACATAACGCTTTATAATACAGGTTTTTCCAACACCTAAAAAAATAAAATAAATATATATACAGATGTCTCAGAGGAAACTCCGCAACCTTATCTCCTTAGAACGGATAGATATCTTGTAATCCTCTAAACGCCATTGTTTTTAGCTTGAAAGGGGAATGTTAATTTAGTATATTGCAAATATGACGCTCAGACGGTGTTGACGTCACGGTGCAAACCTTTTTAAATTACAACGTATGTGTTTTTTTATAGATTGTCATTTCACCGACGTCAAAACGGGAAAGAAATCTAGATATAGGGAACGGTAAAAGTGTACCGTGCCTGTGGGTACCACTACCCCCTGGTTACTAGTGGTTGATTTTAATTACGTAGTTGCTAACATTTCTTATTAATTCAAGTCAATAGATTATATCACGGGCGTACAGCCTAAGATCAGGAAACTTCAAGTTTAAAATGGCCTTTAAAAAAAACTGCCGATGTGTTATGTACGGAAATTTGTGGACAACCTACGTCTAAAATGTCATAGAAATAAGTCTGTTACTAACGAAGTTATTACGTTTTGTAAATTGTAACCTGGCAAGCGAAAAAGGTGAGGACTTGACTTAATAGCTTGTAGATAAATATAGATTGCATGTTTATATTACCTGAAGGCCCCAAAACAATCACTTTAATAGGGTTAGTTTCCATTTTAAATAACCAACACTGTACTTAAACTATTGAGACTTAATGAATAAACTTGTTATTGTAAAATCAGTTATATACAGATTACAGTAGAGGCTTTATTAAGATAATAAAGTATCCACAATCTCTAATTTATCAATACCGTCAAAGATAGATATCGTTGAGATTTGTTCTATAAACCAAGTAGCCCATTTCCAGCAGCTCGTCCTACTTCTGGTTGACTACATTAGCGAAATGATTTTTTAATGCGGTTGAGCATCGGGCGTTGCTACTTTTCTTGGCGCGAAATTAAGTTTTAAATTGGGACACCACAACACCTTGGTCTAACCGCACTGCCATGTACTGTTCTCCTTATACTTAAATTTACAGTTTCCTCGTTTCTTGTACAGTTGTTCCCAAACAGTCTTTGCAATGCACGAGCTAGACTAACAAAAATTACCTCAACTCCCTTTAAATTAAATAACTTAGTAGTTTAATTTAGTATGATACTGTCCAAACATTACCTGATCTTGCATTGCTGAACATTCATGATACGAAGCGCCTATACTTCTGGCATATTGATAGGCTTCATCTCTAGTTACCTAACATTTTTTTTAATTTAATAAATAAAACAAAACGAAAGCAATACATACTTGCCTATTTTCTCTTAAATCAATTTTGTTTCCTACCACACATAAAACCATCCGACTTTCAACAATTGTTTTTAATTCAGCAACCCATTCTTGTACGCTTTCAAAAGTCTGCTGTGACGTGACGTCAGAAACGATTATGGCGGCGTTTGTTCAACGGTAAAACATGGAGACCACGGATCTATAGCGTTCTTGACCGGCAGTATCCCATATCTTAAATGTTATGTTTTTTTTTTGGTTAAATATTGTAAAATGTATCTACCTGTAATTTGATGGGGAAGTTATCTACGACAAGTCTGTGAACGAATAAAGAACCCCCCACGGTTGGTGTTGTGTTATTCAGGTAAGATTTTTGAACATAACGAGTAATAATACTGGTTTTTCCCACACCTAAAATTATAAAATAAATAATATTATATACAGTTAATCTTAATATCAGTAACATATATTGTGTGTTTAGAATACCTTGATTCCCTAAAACAATTACTTTATGGCTGATTGTCTGCATCTTAAACAATTAAAATTAAAGTAAGGAAACCAACACTTCACTATCGATAAAATGTGAAGATTGTGAAAGAAAAATGTATAGATAAGATTTTATGTATTAAGATTAAAAGTTATTCACAATCTAGAGTTTGGTTTTCCAGTGTTGTTAAAAGTACATGTACATCATACATATTGATAAAGTTACAAACTGTGACACCACACTACTTGTTTTTCTTTCTATGCATTTTATTGTACTTAAATTGCTCATTATAACTCAGTAACAAGTCTCTGAATAATGTAATACTAATAACCTACAATAATCAAATGTATATAATTTTTAATGGGACAAGTAGAGAACAGTGAGTGGAAGACTTAGAAATATAAATACCTATTTGTATCTCTGTTCCTTTGACAAGGGGGAATGAGAATGGGAAAGTATGAAATTTTGATAATGTTTTCAATATTTACAATCTCATAACTTTGCTGTGGCAAGTTCGGCTTTTTCCGAAGCATTAGTGTTTAAAATATTGTGTCAACCGATAATGAATTTTGTGCATTTATTATAAGTAGCATTAACATTTCTAAAAACCAGTAAGAAATATTTATTAATGTTTCATAAAATTCGCTTTTAAAACTAATTTAAACAGATTATTATTCTTGTGACACTGAAAAATTTTGGCAAACTGAAAGCTACTTATTTATTTGTTTAAAAAATTAATAATAAAAAATGTAAGATACTTGAGGTAATTTTTTAATAAAAGCGCCAAATTTTGAAGAAATAAATCCCGAGCTCCAAAAATCATTGCAGATTCCAAAAAAAAAAAACATTGAAAAAAGCTTATATAAAATTTTATTAATTAAGTTAAAATATGTCATGCGCATTGTCCTGAACTAAAAATATAACACAGAAGTAAAAGCGTACACAAAGCTTAGTGATCAACAAATATCATTTATGTCGCGTTTTTAAAAAAATTTGTATGTCATAAGATAAGCCACACTAGTGACGTCAGTTATGGGCTACAATTCTCTAAGTGTCGCAAGAATTTAGTTTAATAATATCATATCATTTATTTGTTAAGTCGAATGATTAAATCTACAACACATTTTTGAGAAGTTAATAAATCCTTGACAATTTAGCCAAGGTTCAAAAACTATGATAACTCACACACTCCGATAAAATTGCGATATGTGGCCAAAAATTATAAAACCTTCGCAAAGTTTAAAATTTGGCCGTAAACTGTCAACAAAATAGAGCACCTACGTTGTGTTTTAAAATGGCCCAATGCGTTCGAATGCAAAACGATTTTATTGTTCAGCAACTTAAGATAAAAGAATTTAAATTTCAGAATTCAAGTTTTTTTTAACTTAAACTAGATAAGATTTTAGATTTTTGGAAATCGAAATTTCGCGATTTTTAATCAACTCTAAACGTGAAATTAGGAAAACTGAAATACGTAGTCCTGAGACGCCAAAACTGCTATTCCTTAAATCCCCAAATTGTAACTCTAGAAATTCAAAATCATGAAATTCTGAATCCTAAATTCTTAAGTCCGGAAAGCCTGAATATTTACACTCTAAAATTACGCAACCTGCGGTTCACAGTAAAGCAATCCTGTGATTCTCGAAATTAAAAAAAATAAAATCCTCAAATTTTGAATCTTGCGTGGGAAAAATTTTGAATGCTGAATCGTGAAATCTCAAGTGAATCCTGAAATTATGGCACCAGAAATACACGGTCATGAATTTTAAAACTGACTGTTCTGAAATGCAGAATAGTTACTAAAATCCGCAGTTGAAAAATTTACAATTTTGAAACTATGAATTCTGTAATTCTAAATCCTGAACATTTGAAAACCTGAAATCACGAAACCTAAAACAATAAATCTGAAATCTTAAAACTGTAAATACTGAAATCCTCAATCTAGTAATCCAAAGCCATCAGGATACGATATCTGAAAAAGCTGAGAGTACGAATCGCGAAATCCACAATGCTGGAATCCTAAAATTGTGAATTCTGAAATCTCGACTTCTAAAATTCTAAGTCTGTACCCTGAATCTTAAAAGTTTGATTGCTAAAATTTACAACTCCTAAACGTCCATCTTAAAATCTGTAATGCTCAATTCTGAATTCTAAGAGTAAAATCCGAATTCTGGACTCTCTCCGTTTCACAATTTATTAAATTAAAGAACCTAAGTAAATAATAAATAACTATATATATAAAATATAGTACAGTACACGTAATAATAATCAATTAAACCAAAAATCAACAACGACTTTTTGTATTATGTGTTCCCTAATAGTTCTACCAAACCACGAGCTACATAAACAGAAACTGCTCCAATTCCCTATAAAAAATTTAAGGGGACTCGCTAGACGAGGTATAACATTTTTTTGGTTTTTTGTAAATGAAAAAATGATATTAATATAGATGTATCATGCAGTTTTTTCATATTCTAGACCACAGAGACCAGTTCAATGAATCAAAAAAAATATGGCTGAGAAATATCGTAAAAAAAAGATCGTAAAAAAAAGCACCATTGTATGTTTTCTTTTCAAGTTTTTTTAGTCATAACCATCATAGTATCGCTTGAAAATTCGCACATGGACAAAGTATCACTTTTTACAGGCCGCAGAGTCATTAAATGTTTGTTGGTGGTCCAATTTGTTTAAATAATGATGTGTTTATTAAAATCAAAATATATCACAAATTAATGGAAAATACGTCGAGTAATTTTAATAGGAATATCAGAGGAAAATTAATGATGTAAGGTTTCACGTAACGATGTAAATTTACAGTAGACGTATTGGTCCTATACAAATTTTATCACCCCGCTTTAACCCCCTTAGAGGATGAATTTCGAGAAATCTGTTCTTAAACGATGCCTCCATTATAAAATGAACATTCTCTCCAAATTTCAACTTTCTAACATTAGCGGTTTGGGCTGGGCGTTGATAGGTCAGACGGGACTTTGCCTTTTATAATAAGTAATCTATGTATGAAGATTATTGGTTTTTCCAACGCTGCAAAAGATACAAAGATATATCTATTGATAAAGTTGAAGCTGTAAGCGGGAATTTTTAACAATTAAATAACAAAATTTGTCATTGCGAAATCAATTGATTATAGATAAGATTTTATTAAGATCAATCAAAAAATAAGTAACTGTTTTGATGTATATCCACTGCGACAATGTCTTGATCTTATTTTATAAAAATATAGCTCATTTTTCTAGCTGCAAACCTTCTTGTCCGGCTCTATAAGAATATGTTTACAAAGTATGAATTTGTCACAAAATGTTTCTTAAATTAAAAGCAAAAATATTGAGTACCTAACATCTTTTTTTAATTTATGAAATCAGTGCTCCTGTCTGAGCTGATGGAGCTTATTTTCCTAGTTACAAACTTTTTTGACATTTGAAAATAATATTATAAATGTGTATCAGCAAACGTAGTGAACGGAATTATGCATGTGTGATCGACTACATTACCAGTTGTAGCAGAAATAGAGGAACGCAAACAACGAAGCTGCAATGTCATGCTGTTTAATATCCCGGAATCGACTGCTGCTGAACTAGCAGGAAGAGTTGCTGAAGATCTGCAAAAAGTGATGTCTATTTTAACACCCTTAGGTACGTTTCCTCAGCCTAATAAAATGATTAGGCTTGGAAGCAAGAAACCTAACGTAAAGAGGCCACTAAAAATTATCTACGACTCTGAGACTGCGGCAAGAGAAATTTTAAGGTCAAATAAGTCTAATCCCAACCGGGAATATCATTTTCGTCCAGACTTAACCGTATTGCAACGAGATTACAATAATCGAGTGAGAAAAGAATATCTTGATAGAACTGCTAATGGAGAATCTGATATTGTCTTAAAGTACAAGAATAATTGCCCGTTTATTGCTAAACAAAATGTAAAAGGAGGTCCATCAAAAAAGTAGTTCATTTTTATTATCACAATGTGGGTGGGATGCGAAGCAGACTTAAGGAATTTTCTCTTAATGCTAACTCTAGTGTTTATGACATAATTATTATAACAGAAACTTGGTTTTTCGATGAAATATCAAATGAAGAATTGCAACTAAGTAATTATAATATTTATCGCACGGATCGGGATTTGAAGAGGACCATGAAATCAAGAGGTGGGGGTGTGATGGTTGCTGTTAATAAGAGTTTAAATTCATCTGAAGTTTACTTGGGTACCAGTGTTGAAAGCGTTTATGTTAAAATAAATACTGGTGATTTAAATTTGATTGTTGGGGGCGTGTATATTCCTCCTGCTTCTGATCTTAACACTTATAATACTCACTGTTCAGAGTTGGAAACCATCTACTCTCAATTTTCAGATTTTTCGTTTATAATTGCTGGGGATTATAATCTCGCTCATCTTGTATGGGAAAACAACAAAGTAAACTTAGATTTGCTGGGTAACTCGAAGGATTATTATGATGTCATTAATGCAACATACTCTTTTTTAAACTTGCTACAAGTTAACGAAATTCCAAATAATAGAAACGTTTTCTTGGATCTAATCTTTACAAATATCACAGATATAAAAGTCTGCGCTGCCATTGATTCGATTCTCCCGGAAACTTATCATCATATCCCATATCATTGGTCAGTCTAACTCATCATATGATTTTAAGAATGTTACTTCTGAATATGTAATTTTTGATTTTGCAAATGGTAATTATCATCTTCTCAATGAATTTATTGCTTCTGTGGATTGGAAATTTCTTTTTGATGGTCTTGAATTTGAGGTGATGGTTTCTACCTTTTATAATATTATTTTCACTGGCATTGAAAAATACATTCCTAAAAAAACTATTAAATATTGTTCTAGGTCTTTTCCTAAATGGTTTAATAAAGAATTAATAGATTTGTGTCGAGACAAAAAGGTTGCTCATTCAACCTACATTAAATCTGGAAAATATGCGGACTATTTACATTTTAAAGCGTTAAGAAGTAGATGTAAAGATCTTAGCGCACGTCTTTATAATTTGTATCTGGTAAATGTAAATAATAGTATTACAGATAATCCGAAATATTTTTGGAAATTCGTTAATGATAAGAAACAGTCTCGTGGCATCCCGAATGAAATGAGTCTTTTTCATACGTTTGCCAATGGTGGAGAAAATATCTCTAACTTATTCGCTAAATTCTTTTCATCAGTGTATGTTATTGATGACAATAGCAACTCAGACTTTAACTTCAGCCTTGATGGAGAAGTATGCGATAGTGGATTAAATGTAAATCTTGCTGAAATATTTGAATATATCTCTCAATTAAAGTCTTCTTGCAATCCTGGTCCAGACGGAGTGCCTAGTATTCTGCTAAAAAACTGTGTTTTTTCAATCTCATTACCATTGTTTTTGTTATTTAAGACTTCTTTATCTTTAGGGAACTTTCCGACAATTTGGAAAAACAGCTATGTAACTCCCATCTTCAAATCAGGCAATCGGAGTAAAATTGATAATTATAGGGGGGTATGTAATCAGTCAGTAATACCAAAAATATTAGATTTTATTGTGGCCAAACAATTACAGTGGATTTCTTCGTCTCTTATTTCTGAGAAACAAAATGGTTTTTATAAAAACAGATCAACATTAACTAATTTGATGGAATACTACTGTTATCTTAATGATGCTTTCTCTCGAAAAAGTCAAATAGATTCTTTATACGCTGATTTCTCAAAAGCGTTTGATAACGTCAATCATAGGTTACTTATTTTTAAGATGACTAAATTAGGTTTCAGTGGGAAGACTATCAAGTGGCTAACATCGTTTTTATTTAATAGATCTCAGCAAGTTAAAATTGGTAATCATTTGTCTTCTCAATACTTTGCATTTTCTGGTGTACCACAAGGTTCACATTGTGGACCTATACTGTTTCAAATTTTCGTTAACGATTTGACAATTGGATTTCAGCACTCTAAATTCTTACTATATGCTGATGATCTGAAATTATTCAGAACTATTCAATCTGTTGATGATGCTTCAGATTTTCAACTAGACCTAAATACTCTGCATAAATGGACAGTGAGCAATTTACTTCCGTTGAATTTGAAAAAATGTTGTATAATTTCTTTTTTTAATGTCAAATCAGTGTTGTATTTTGATTACCAATTAGGGAAATCGTCAGTAATTCGTGTAAATGAAGTCAAAGATTTAGGAATCATTCTAGACTCCAAACTTACGTTCAAGGAGCATTTTCATTATATATTCAATAAATCAATAAGCATGCTGGGGCTCATTTGGCGTCACTGTCGAACATTATCTGTCTCTGCTCTTAAAACCTTGTATTTTTCTTTGGTGCAGTCAAATCTTCAATATTGCTCTCCTGTATGGTCGCCATTTTATAAGAAAGATATCGACCTTTTAGAAAGAGTCCAGAAAAAATTTCTACGACTGTTGGAATTCAAACTTAATCGGGTCCATCAAAGAGGGGATTATACGTGGATTATGTGTAATTTGAAAATATTGTCATTAGAGGATCAACGTAAAATGTACGATGTTTGTTTTCTTCATGGGCTAGTTAATGGTTACATAGACAATCCTAGCTTGTTGCGTCAACTAACATTTCTAATACCTCCTTCAAATAGTAGAAAAACTCGGAGCACAGTGATATTTAGGGTACCTGTGTCCACGACTAACAAATCGCAAAATCATCCGATCAAACGTATGATGGAAACGGCTAACAGGATGGCGGACAATTCAACATTTTTATTATTTGATTGTGACAGATCAAAATTCAAATCTAGAATTAAGTGTATTTTAGGTCTGTAAATTAAAGTGTATGATAGAATGTTAGTATTTAAGTTTAATTCATTTTCAATTCTTTAAGAAAATTATTAGTGAAGGGTTTATAAGTATATAGATTTTATTTACTTAATTAGTTTGTTTTTTTTTTCTGTATTTTCTAAGATAATTTCAATTTGTATAGTTTATAGTATTGTAAATTGGGGTTTTCCCGTCAAATTAAATTAAATTAAATTAAATTAAATTAAATTTTTTTATTTTTCTAATACGGTTTCAAAGCGTTGCTGCTTTTTTGGCGCCAAATATAAATTTTAATTCCGGGCACCAAAACAGTTTGCGCGACGTTCTGTGCTCCTTTCAGTTTCCTCGTTTCTTGTACAGGTGTTCCCAAACAGTTTTTGCATCTCACGAGCTACATCATCAAAAACTGCCTCAACTCCCTTCAAATTAAATTAGTTAATTTCATTTAACATGATGTTACTCTAACAGTACCTGGTAGGCTTCGTCTATAGTGACCTAGCATTTTTTTATTTTCAATAAATAAACAAAGTGAAAGCGATATACATATTTGTCTATTTTCTGTTAAATTCATTTTGTTTCCTAACACATAAGACGATCGGACTTTCAACATATTTTTTAATTCGGCAAACCATTTTTGTACGCTGTTAAATGTCTGGTGTGAAGTGACTATATTTTCAAAGCATTCTTAACCGGAAGGATCCAATATCTTAAATGTTATGATTATTATGGTTTTTATTCTTGTAATTTGACGGTGATGGTATCTATGACAAGTTCATAAACGAAAGAAGAACACCCCAAGGTTGGTGTTGTGTTATTCCAGAAAGACTTTTGTACATAACGAATAATACTACCTACTAGTTTTTCCCACACCTAGAAATATAAAAAATATATATATATGGTTAATTCTAATGTGAATATAGATTGTATGCTTAAGTTACCTCGATCACCCAAAAAAATTACTTTACGATTGTTGGTTTCAATTTTAAACAAATTAAAATTAAAGTAAAAAAACAACACTTCACTTTGAGTCTAGCGATTAAATGAGCAAACTTGTCTTTGTGAAAAGAAAGATAGATGAGATTTTAAGATTAAGTTATTCACAATCTACATATAGTTTGATTTTTCCAGTTGTGTTTAATATACCTACGTATACCTATACTATGGTGGAACGAAACAGTAACTTCACGACGAACATTTATATTTATTTGTTCCTATATTGACAATACTGAGTGCTCGTCTTGGCGCAAAATTTAATTTTTAAATCGGGACACCATAACATTTTAATGTAACAACACTGCCCATGTATTCCACTCCTTACACTTAAATTTAGAGTTTCCTTATTTTCTGTATGGGTGTTCCGATACACCGCGAGGTACCCAATTAAAAACTATTTCAACTCTCTTTATAACATAAATAACATAGTTTTATTTAACACGACTTTGTTCAAGCATATAAGTATAGCCCCTAGAAAACATATAGTATCGTCACCGTGGAGCAAACCTGGCGAAAACTTAACAAAAACAAAAATTATTGACACCATTTGACAGACCGCGAAATTTAAAATGGTTTTATGTTGGATTTAAAGTTTGTAGTTTATATGCAAAACATGGATTTTTAATTTGAATAAAATATAAAATTTAATCAATAAAATCTTTTTTGACAATTAATTGACTTTAAACAAAAAGACCACACCAAGACCACATGACAACACCGGTTTACGCGCTGTCAACCACCTGTCAACTCTCTGCTGACACAATTTGGTTCCAAACCAGGATAAATTTTTGCGTTACCAACTACATTTGCTCCACTCGTACAACAATGGATGACGATGCTATGTATTTCTGGGGGCTATACATAAAAATTATACAAAAGTCAACAATTACATTGTGACTTATCAGGACCACCAGGGGTTGGAGCTGCATTGTTCCCTGTGGAAGGGCCAAATCTTAGGTTCGTTAATGATATAGTTTCTGTGTTGGCTGCTGATCGTACCTCACTAGAACCAGTTATGTTCTCAAGTAGACTTATCATACGACGAGCTACATCATCAAACACTTCTCTAATTCCCTTTAAAATATTTTTTTTTACTAGCTTTACACTTTTTAAGGACTACTTACCCTACCTTTCTTCGCTGAACATTCGTAATAAGAAGCACCTATACTTTCAGCGTAGTACTGGGCTTGCTTTTTTGTGACCTAATATTTTTTTTTTTTGTTATTCGTAAATAAAATCAAGAAAACTAGTACATACATACTTGTCTTTGTTCTTCTAAATCAGTTTTGTTTCCTATCACACATAAGACCATCGGAGAAATATTATCTTTCAATTCTGCAAACCATCTCTGCATTTTTTCAAAACTTGGCTGTGAAATGATCTCAAAAACCAATAAGGCGACCTTGGCATCGCGGTAATACTGAGGAATTATGGAGTGGTAGCGTTCTTGATCGGCGGTATCCCATATCTTAAATGTTTTAGTTTATTTTTTAAAGGAAGTATTGTGTAGAATTTTTACGTGTAATTTGAGAGTCCAATCAACGATGTCATGTATGACATGTTTACAAGTGTAGAGATCACACCCCACGGTTACGTCCACGTTATCCTTCAAAGAATTTTCAACATAACGCTTTATAATACAGGTTTTTCCAACACCTAAAAAAATAAAATAAATATATATACAGATGTCTCAGAGGAAACTCCGCAACCTTATCTCCTTAGAACGGATAGATATCTTGTAATCCTCTAAACGCCATTGTTTTTAGCTTGAAAGGGGAATGTTAATTTAGTATATTGCAAATATGACGCTCAGACGGTGTTGACGTCACGGTGCAAACCTTTTTAAATTACAACGTATGTGTTTTTTTATAGATTGTCATTTCACCGACGTCAAAACGGGAAAGAAATCTAGATATAGGGAACGGTAAAAGTGTACCGTGCCTGTGGGTACCACTACCCCCTGGTTACTAGTGGTTGATTTTAATTACGTAGTTGCTAACATTTCTTATTAATTCAAGTCAATAGATTATATCACGGGCGTACAGCCTAAGATCAGGAAACTTCAAGTTTAAAATGGCCTTTAAAAAAAACTGCCGATGTGTTATGTACGGAAATTTGTGGACAACCTACGTCTAAAATGTCATAGAAATAAGTCTGTTACTAACGAAGTTATTACGTTTTGTAAATTGTAACCTGGCAAGCGAAAAAGGTGAGGACTTGACTTAATAGCTTGTAGATAAATATAGATTGTATGTTTATATTACCTGAAGGCCCCAAAACAATCACTTTAATAGGGTTAGTTTCCATTTTAAATAACCAACACTGTACTTAAACTATTGAGACTTAATGAATAAACTTGTTATTGTAAAATCAGTTATATACAGATTACAGTAGAGGCTTTATTAAGATAATAAAGTATCCACAATCTCTAATTTATCAATACCGTCAAAGATAGATATCGTTGAGATTTGTTCTATAAACCAAGTAGCCCATTTCCAGCAGCTCGTCCTACTTCTGGTTGACTACATTAGCGAAATGATTTTTTAATGCGGTTGAGCATCGGGCGTTGCTACTTTTCTTGGCGCGAAATTAAGTTTTAAATTGGGACACCACAACACCTTGGTCTAACCGCACTGCCATGTACTGTTCTCCTTATACTTAAATTTACAGTTTCCTCGTTTCTTGTACAGTTGTTCCCAAACAGTCTTTGCAATGCACGAGCTAGACTAACAAAAATTACCTCAACTCCCTTTAAATTAAATAACTTAGTAGTTTAATTTAGTATGATACTGTCCAAACATTACCTGATCTTGCATTGCTGAACATTCATGATACGAAGCGCCTATACTTCTGGCATATTGATAGGCTTCATCTCTAGTTACCTAACATTTTTTTTAATTTAATAAATAAAACAAAACGAAAGCAATACATACTTGCCTATTTTCTCTTAAATCAATTTTGTTTCCTACCACACATAAAACCATCGGACTTTCAACAATTGTTTTTAATTCAGCAACCCATTCTTGTACGCGTTCAAAAGTCTGCTGTGACGTGACGTCAAAAACGATTATGGCGGCGTTTGTTCCACGGTAAAACATGGAGACCACGGATCTATAGCGTTCTTGACCGGCAGTATCCCATATCTTAAATGTTATGTTTTTTTTGGTTAAATATTGTAAAATGTATCTACCTGTAATTTGATGGGGAAGTTATCTACGACAAGTCTGTGAACGAATAAAGAACCCCCCACGGTTGGTTTTGTGTTATGCAGGTAAGATTTTTGAACATAACGAGTAATAATACTGGTTTTTCCCACACCTAAAATTATAAAATAAATAATATTATATACAGTTAATCTTAATATCAGTAACATATATTGTGTGTTTAGTATACCTTGATTCCCTAAAACAATTACTTTATGGCTAATTGTCTGCATCTTAAGCAATTAAAATTAAAGTAAGGAAACCAACACTTCACTATCGATAAAATGTGAAGATTGTGAAAGAAAAATGTATAGATAAGATTTTATGTATTAAGATTAAAAGTTATTCACAATCTAGAGTTTGGTTTTCCAGTGTTGTTAAAAGTACATGTACATCATACATATTGATAAAGTTACAAACTGTGACACCACACTACTTGTTTTTCTTTCTATGCATTTTATTGTACTTAAATTGCTCATTATAACTCAGTAACAAGTCTCTGAATAATGTAATACTAATAACCTACAATAATCAGATGTATATAATTTTTAATGGGACAAGTAGAGAACAGTGAGTGGAAGACTTAGAAATATAAATACCTATTTGTATCTCTGTTCCTTTGACAAGGGGGAATGAGAATGGGAAAGTATGAAATTTTGATAATGTTTTCAATATTTACAATCTCATAACTTTGCTGTGGCAAGTTCGGCTTTTTCCGAAGCATTAGTGTTTAAAATATTGTGTCAACCGATAATGAATTTTGTGCATTTATTATAAGTAGCATTAACATTTCTAAAAACCAGTAAGAAATATTTATTAATGTTTCATAAAATTCGCTTTTAAAACTAATTTAAACAGATTATTATTCTTGTGGCACTGAAAAATTTTGGCAAACTGGAAGCTACTTCCCGAGCTCCAAAAATCATTGCAGATTCCAAAAAAAAAACATTGAAAAAAGCTTATATAAAATTTTATTAATTAAGTTAAAATATGTCATGCGCATTGTCCTGAACTAAAAATATAACACAAGTAAATCATTTATGTCGGGTTTTTCAGAAAATTTGTATGTCATAAGATAAGCCACACTAGTGACGTCAGTTATGGGCTACAATTCTCTAAGTGTCGCAAGAATTTAGTTTAATAATATCATATCATTTATTTGTTAAGTCGACGATTAAATCTACAACACATTCTTGAGAAGTTAATAAATCCTTGACAATTTAGCCAAGGTTCAAAAACTATGATAACTCACACACTCCGATAAAATTACGATATGTTGCCAACCCTCTCAAAGTTTAAAATTTGGCCATAAACTGTCAACAAAATAGAGCACTTACAGTGTGTCTTAAAATGACCCAATGCGTTCAAATGCAAAACAATTTTATTATTCAGGAACTTAAAATAAAAGATAAATTTCAAAATTCAAGTTTTTTTTTAACTTTGAGTTGATAGGATTTTGGATCTTTGGAATTCCAAATTCCGAAATTGTAACTCTAGAAATTCAAAATCATGAAATTCTGAATCCTAAATTCTTAAGTCCGCAAAGTCTGAATATTGACACTATAAAACATTGATTAAATACATATAGATAGACCCATGCTATTGTTTGGAGCGAACAGGCCAACGGCCGGCGAACAAGAGATGGCGCACCAACAGTCGGCCGTCAAACGCCGGCGAAAAGCTTGGACACCAATCGCGCGCGTAGATAACTCAAATCACAGCAACAATACATTTAATAAAGCTACCACTCGATAGAGGGCGACGAAAAAATGTGTAAAAATCTCATAGTTATCATTTAAATAATTTGCAACGTTGCCAGATGAGCCTAACACAAATTTGCCGTTATTTCTAGCCAAGTAGGATTTATTTCGTTTAAAAGTTTCTGATAAAGAAATGGGATTATTATAATGAATAAAAATAAATAAAACAAACAAATTATTAAGTACTTGTTATTTTAAATACTTGTTAGTGCTAACATTATTATAAATACGGTCCGGTAACTCAAATTTTATAGAAAGAGTGAGATGTTTCAGGACGAGGCGACCGTAGGGAGCCGAGTTTTTAATTTCGAAACGAGTTCTGCGAAAAGAGTTATCGGAGGTATGTCGTTATGGATTTTATTTCATACTGTCAACATATTTTTTTTGTTCGATAAAATAATTACTATTTTGGAAAAAGTTCAAATCAAGTCACTTTTTCTGACATCGTTAGCAACCGCTGTTTGGCTAATGTTTTAATTTGTTTATTCGTGCAAATCAGCATCAAATGTTTAAACTAAAATTTATTAGTCTAGAGACGGACAGATATATACTAAAGACAAAACATATCCATTCATATATGTCTTAAAAAACGGGTAACATATGCCGCATAAACTAAAAAATAAGACATTTTCTTTCACATTTTATATTGTAAATGCAATTAAGTATATCGATAACTCGCTACTGAAAATTTATTGAAATATAATTTCTGCAAAAAAAAGATTGTTGTGGTTTTATGGTTTATTGACATAGTTTACTTATTTAAAATGAATATTTTTCATACATAGCACAAGTTCTTGATATTATTTATTTTAATTTCAAATAATAATTGTGTTTCCTTTAATTTTAACCAAGAAAATTTTTCGGTTATTATCCAACATACTTTTGTACATTAAGAAACTCCATTTCACGTCGCGGGACGTTACAGAACAATATTTAAGTAAATAAGCTTTTCCAAAAAGAAGTCGTTTTTATGTGTTTTATAAAACTCACTCTTTTATCTCCGGACTTTCGGCTTTTTAGTGTTTCACTTCGACACAAGAATATAAACAGTGGAAAAATGGAACAGTTTTAAAAACTATTCATCTATTTGTTCTGTCTTGCAGCGAGAAAGGAATATAGCATATTGTACCCACATTTCATAGTAAAAATATGGATCCGGTTTAAAATTTTACCTACCTACTTAATTACGTTAACAAACTAAAATTTTCATTGAAGAGACAGGCTGTTCTAGGAAACTTTATTACAAATCTCTTCATTTACGAGCTGCTGAAGGACCGCCGGTCTCATTGATAATTCTTACCTACTTCAGTTCTTACCTGGCTTGTACTTAAGAATGAAGCGAAAAATAGGATAAAGAATTAAATGCGCACTGGCTTTCCTAAATGATAAAATTTACAGTTCAAAATTTCTGACGTTCGGTTTACTTGAACAGTGAGCATTACATACAAATACCATAATTACATCACAATATTTGTTGGGCAAACTTTTGTTTGGAGGAGCAGGATGACAATAGGAAAAAATTAAAATTGTATTAGGTGGTACGTCTTTCGATAAAAATCCTAACTGTAGTCATAATTTGTACTTGTAGCTGTAAAGAAAATAAATATTTTGTAGTTATTATTGTGAACTTCCTACGAATGCAACAGAGAGAAAGATGAATTTATGGTAGTGTTTCCCGCGTAATTTTCAGGTAGTCACTCAGATGTTACGATTCTGAAATTGTTTGCCTGGTTTTCAACATTGTCTAGTACTTTTAGATAACAATGTCCTATACGACCCAACCTATTTATCTTTTACGTGTATTACTGTTTTTCAGAATTTGACAATTTTCATTAATATTTATATGTATTAATGATAATGAACATGGTTTCATCGAAAGCTGAGTGAGCGTCACTTTATTAATAACTCGATGTTTATCGTGTGTTAACATTTCATAATTTAATTTTTATATTACAGTTCTGAAGGAATTAGTTTTGTCAAATGTATTATATACATATATACAGGGCGATTCGGCCTAAATGACGAATTTAATTTGTCGTTAGCACGAAGTCTGTGATTTTAAAAACGTCAAAACAACTGTACAAAAAATTGTATACCTAAAAATCGATAAATAATATACAAATTGTAAAATAAATTTAAATATAAAATTAAATAATAAATTTAAGAAAATAAAATATACGAACAATGTAAGTAAATAGTTCTTTATGCAACTAGTGAGTAAAGTGTATCTTTTTTCACGAGAAGGAAAATTTGCCACAAGAGCCGAAAGCGAGTGCGCAAATCCGCCAAATGAAGAAACGTCACTTTGCTCGCAAGTTGAGTTCAAAATTTTTTTCGCGTTCATAACAAAGCTCAACAACCACCTACTTCAAAAACTCTTTATTTTGGAACATGGAATATTAAATGTGGCCGTACTTGCCGACTTGATGATTTCTTCAGGAGACCACGAGAAATCTTCGTCGCTGTACGACTCCATGGTGCGAGTGAACAGTTTAGCACAAAACAGAGAGAAAACTAGTGCAGTGCACTTAAATAAGAATTAAATTATACAATTTTTGAATGCATTTTAATTTCTGACAAATGTGTTGATGAATCGTCATAGCAACGGCAGCTTCTATATTTTGCGTTTAAATGTCTTCCGTTAACAAATGACAAGCTACGACACAATGTTTCATTTAAATGCGCGAAAAAATGAACTGTGACATTTTTTTTCACTCCTCTAGTACATTGAAAAGAATGTATCCTTTATAAACAAAAATTAATAAAAAATGTTACACTTTTTTTAACGAACGTGAAAAAAAACAAAATTTTTAGGAATATCTACAACTTTTTGTAGATATAGTAATATATAATTGCGTTATAATTTTTATTTGCAACCATGCAGTTTTATTTATGTATTTTATGTAAAATAAAAGTTGAATTTATTCTGGAATATGTTTTATACAGTTTAACCAATAACTTGTCAATGCTTTTCACAAAATCAATAAAATTGTATATTTTTTATTAACTGTTTTTCTTTGTAAGTCATGTGTCATACACTTATATCCAAATCAGTAAATGTCATTAGAAAATTATTAATTGTCATGTTTGCATTTCGTGTCAAGATATTTCCTTTGTGCTGCATTCACCTCATATGTACAGTGTGGGACACGGAATTTCAAACGACCTGTCAATCATAATGACAATAAGGTATAAGACTACAATGTTTTTAAATGTCAGAAAGTTGGTTGTCGTTTGAAATTCCGTGTCCCTGACTGTACAGAGTAATTAGGGTTAACATTCTGATTACTTTAAAAATCATATTTCTAATTAAAAAAATATGTATGTGTAAGTACAGACTACAAAAGCATAAATAAAATATTTAATGCAATTGTAGAATACACCCGCCAGTACGCAACTACGCATTATATTAAATTAAATTTATAGTTAAAAAATTTGCATTAAGCAGCTTATGAATTAGTAGTGTTCAAACACTCTTACATTTTTTAATTAATCCTTATAATACAATTGACAAGACTAATTCCTTTAAAACTGTAATATAAAAATTATAAAATGTTAACAGACGATAAATATAGAGTTACGTATTAATAAAGTGACACTCACTCAACTTTCGACGAAACCATGTTCATTTATCCTTGTACGATATTAGTGAAAATGGTCAAATTCTGAAAAACATTAATACACGTAAAAGATAAAATAAATACGTCGGGTCGTATAGGACATTGTTATCTAAAAACGCTGGAGAAACTTGAAAACCAGGCAAATAATTCCAGAATCGTAACATCTGGGTGACTACCTGAAAATTACGAGGGAAACAGTACCATAAATTCATCTATTGTGGCTCTGTTGCATTCGTAGGAAGTTCACAATAATAACTACAAAATATTTATTTTCGTTTACAACTACAAATAGATACAATTTACCGAATACCCTTAGGATTTTTATCGAAAGACGCAGCACCTAACATAATTTTAATTTTTATATTTTAAAAAGGAATGATTTTAAATTTAACTAGTCATCAGTAACAACTTGTTTTCTATTCTCATACGGCTCCTCTTCTGTTTGCCGAACAAATATTGTGATGTAATTTTGGTATTTGTTTGTATGTAATACCCACTGTTCAAGTAAACCGAACGTCAAAAATTTTTAACTGTAAATTGTATCATTTAGGAATGTCAGTGTGCATTTAATTCTTTATCCTAAAACTAGCTTTTGCCCGCGGCTTCGCACGCGTTAAATTAGGAGTAAAACAATGTTATTGTGGGTTATCTATAAGAGATAGACATATACCATCGCGCAGTTTTCTGTAGACCTTTTCAAACTGTACAATATCGTACTTCGTACATTATTTTGAGAAATCTCGTAGGGTTCAGCCTGCGTTTGCAATGTAAACGGAAAAAATGTAATTATTAATAACAATATTTCTTTACTATATAATGAATGTTATTATACATATAAACCTTCCCCTTGAATCACTCTATCTATTAAAAAAACCGTATCAAAATCCGTGGCGTAGTTTTAGAGATCTAAGCATACATAGGGACAGACAGCGGAAAGCGACTTTGTTTTATACTATATGTAGTGATGCATGCAATTTGTTTACAAACATATGAATATATTTTGGATTAACTTATTGAGGTGTTCATATATTATTTTAAAGGATTCAGCTCTGAGGAATATTTAATGAAATTTTTAAACACTAAAATATTTTGCTCTTCTTAAAAAAAAACAATAGATAAACGAATATCACTAAGAGTATGTTATTGTTAAATTCAGGAAAAACATGTATTGCATTTTTCATGTATTTTAAATTGAGAAATTTTTATCAAACAAAATCAAAAGATACGATTTGAAAACATGCGAATGAACGTATGTTCACTGATTCGTTGTAAAATTCGACCAAACAATTCTTTCCCGCAGAAATTATGGTAGAAACCGGTTCCTTCGTTACAGTAGACGTGGACCGAATTCGCTCTAACGCAAGGCAGCAAACGTTTCTAGAATGTGGTCTGTAGACCAAATCGCGTCTGAACGCTAAGGTCGAAATTGGCCCGGACTCGCTCTGGTCTGTGGACGACTTAAGTTCTCAGGCGACGATATATCTGTCCGTCTCTAGACTAATAAATTTTAGTTTAAACATTTGATGCTGATTTGCACGAATAAACAAATTAAAACATTAGCCAAACAGCGGTTGCTAACGATGTCAGAAAAAGTGACTTGATTTGAACTTTTTCCAAAATAGTAATTATTTTATCGAACAAAAAAAATATGTTGACAGTATGAAATAAAATCCATAACGACATACCTCCGATAACTCTTCGCAGAACTCGTTTCGAAATTAAAAACTCGGCTCCCTACGGTCGCCTCGTCCTGAAACATCTCACTCTTTCTATAAAATTTGAGTTACCGGACCGTATTTATAATAATGTTAGCACTAACAAGTATTTAAAATAACAAGTACTTAATAATTTGTTTGTTTTATTTATTTTTATTCATTATAATAATCCCATTTCTTTATCAGAAACTTTTAAACGAAATAAATCCTACTTGGCTAGAAGTAACGGCAAATTTGTGTTAGGCTCATCTGGCAACGTTGCAAATTATTTAAATGATAACTATGAGATTTTTACACATTTTTTCGTCGCCCTCTATCGAGTGGTAGCTTTATTAAATGTATTGTTGCTGTGATTTGAGTTATCTACGCGCGCGATTGGTGTCCAAGCTTTTCGCCGGCGTTTGACGGCCGACTGTTGGTGCGCCATCTCTTGTTCGCCGGCCGTTGGCCTGTTCGCTCCAAACAATAGCATGGGTCTATCTATATGTATTTAATCAATGTATAAAATTATGGAAGCTGCGGTTCACAATAAACCAACCTGTGATTCTCGAAACTTAAAATAATAAAATCCCCAAATTTTTAATCTCGCGTGGAAAGATGTGGATCCCAAAATTTTGAATGGTGAATTTTGAAATCTCAAGTCCTTAAATTATAAATCTTGAGACTGAATCCTGAAATGATGAAACCCGAAATCCACGGTCGTAATTTTAAAACTGACCGTGCCGAAATCCGGAATACTTACTAAAATCCGCAATTGAAAAATTTAGAATCGTGAAACTCCGAACAATAAATTTGAAATCTCAAAACTACATATAAACATTGAAACCCTTAATACTAAAATCCTCAAGTTATTATAACCCTGATATTTTGACTACTGAAATCTTCAATCTAGTGATCCAAAGCCATTACAATACGAAATTTGAAAACCTGATACCTGATCACTTTAATAGGGTTGGTTTCCATTTTAAATAACCAACACTGTACTTGAACTATTGTGACTAAATGAATAAACTTGTTATTGTAAAATTAGATAGGATTTTATTAAGAATAATTAAGTATTCACAATCGATGCCGTCAAAGACGGATTTGCAGCAGCATCGTCCTACTTTCTGGTCGACTACAGTGCCGAAATGATTTTATTCTTTAATGCGGTTGAGCATCGGTCGTTGCTGCTTTTCTTGGCGCGAAATTTAATGTTTAAATCGGGAAACCACAAAAGTTCGGATTAACCGCACTGCCATGTGCTGTGCCCCTTATACTTAAATTTTCAGTTTCCTCGTTTCTTGTACAGTTGTTCCCATACAGTCTTTGCAACGCACGAGCTACATCATCAAAAATAACCTCAACCCCCTTTAAATAAAATAACTTAGTTTTAACTATTTAACATGATGTTCCTACATTACCTGATCTTGCTTTGCTGAACATTCGTAGTACGAAGCGCCTATACTTCTGGCATATTGATAGGCGTCATCTGTAGAGACCTAGCAATTTTTTTTAATTTAATAAATAAAACAAAGCGAAAGCAATACATACTTGCCTATTTTCTCTTAAATCAATTTTGTTTCCTACCACACATAAAACCATCGGACTTTCAACAATTGTTTTTAATTCAGCAACCCATTCTTGTACGCTTTCAAAAGTCTGCTGTGACGTGACGTCAAAAACGATTATGGCGGCGTTTGTTCCCCGGTAAAATTTGGGAACCACGGATTTATAGCGTTCTTGACCGGCAGTATCCCATATCTTAAATGTTATGTTTTTATTTCAGTTAAATTGTGTAAAGTGTGTTTACCTCTAATTTGATGGTGATGTTATCTACATGTTTGTAAACGAATAAAGAACCTCCTATAGTTGGTCTTGTGTTATTAGGGAAAGACTTTTTAACATAACGAGTGATAGTACTGGTTTTTCCCACACCTAAAAATATAAAATAAATAATATTATATATAAATTACTATTAATGTCAATATAGATTGTGAGCTTAGGATACCTTGGTCCCCTAAAACAATTACTTTACGAGTGATTGTGTCCATCTTAAAGAAATTAAAATTAAAGTAAGGAAACCAACACTTCACTATCGATTAAATGAGGAGACTTGTGATTGTGAAAGAAAAATTTATAGATAAGATTTTATATATTAAGATTAAGTTATTCATAATCTATAGTTTGGTTTTTCCAGTGCTGTTAAAAGTATAATACATATTGATAAGGTTACAGAGTGTGACGGCACACCTACTTGTCTTTCTTTCTATTTTTGTTTGTTTGATTTTACCTCTAACTATGCATTTTATTGTATTTAATTGCTTATTATAACTCAGTAACAAGAGTCTGAATAATGTAATACTAATAATCTACAATAATTAGATGTCGATTTTTTTTTATGCAGAGAAGTAAAAGGAAGGAGGCGCAACTTACAAATATAAACAGTTTTATCTTTTTTCCTTTGACAAGGGGGAATGAGAATGGGAAAGTGTGACATTTTGATAATGTTTTCAATATTTCGTATTACTTTGTTTGATTGTTTGTAAATTCACATTCTTCATATAAACCACATTGTGGTGATCAGATTTGAATTAAAATTTCGCACTGAAAAAAAAAACAGCGAGGCGAAATCGCATTAGAATAATTTGAATTTGAAAAAAAAATCAATCAAGAGGATCGTTAAACATAGGCAACCATGTGCACGTTTAGTTCTTTTTCTGGTAGTTCATCGTTCTGCTAGGGAATTTTAGTTAGAGGGCTGGTAGTGAGAGGATTATTAGAAGCTGACTTGTTTGGTAGAGGGTAAGTGGCGCGTCACTGTTTTTATTTTGTTTTGATGAGTGAAACACGCGGTAAGGAAACTAGGTTAAGTTTAGTTAGTTTGGTAGTTAGAGAAAGGGGGAAGCCTTTGTTTAACGAAAATTAATCGTAACGACGATGACGCCACAGTTTCCCCTACACGCGTAGATAATTCTTAGGATTTTTCCAAGCGGAAATATGCAAATTTTCGACCGACGCCAACACGTGGTGTAAATTAGTTTTATTGTTGTTCGTAAATTCACAGTTCACGTTAGGATTTTAATGGTTGACTGGTTGTAACACAATTTAACAGTCATAAGTTTGTTCAGATAAAAGCGCTTGCTGGGAGATTTCATGAGATTCACTTAGTCAGGACTCACCCTTTGTTTACCAAATTATGAGTAGGGTTTCTGGATGCTTATACTTAAGTGTTACATTATAACACTTCTAAATTCCTCACACAAGATTGCTAATAGTTCATTTACGGCAGTTAACCTAACGTTGTCCCACTCTGGGAAAAGGACCGTGAAAGTACGGTCGAATTCATAATATCGTGCACTGAGTTACGGGGGGATTAAGAATTTCTCCCCTTGGGCAGTTATTATCATCGTTATCATCCGAGCTCCTTATGTTAGATCTTTGAAAAAGAATCTTGGCTCTTTTTTTAGGAAATCTGCAAGAATCTCCGGGACTTCCAGTATTTGATTTATGAAAAAGTTGAAAAGAGTCTCGGGTTCGTTATATTTGACTTTTAAAATAGTTTGAAGGAATCTCGGGCTCGTTATGTTTGATTTTTAACAAAGTTTGAAAGAGTCAGTGCCTTTTCTTTAGGAAATGTGGAAGAATCTACGGGGCTTCCAATGTTTGATTTTTCAAAAAATTGAAAGTGCCTGACCCCTTATGTTTGATTTTTGAAAAAGTTTGAAAGAATCTCAGGTTCCTTATGTTTGACTTTTGAAAAAATTTGAAAAAATTTCGGGCTTCTTGTGTTTGACTTCTGGCAAATTTGCAGCGACCCCAGTGTCTTTTTTTTAGGAAATGTGAAAGAATTCCTCTGGATTTCTAGATTTGATTCTTGCAAAAGTTTTAAAAAACCTCGGGATCCTTTGTTTGATCCTCGAAAAAGTTTGAAAGAATCTCGGGTTCTTTATGTTTGATTTTTAAAATAGTTTGAAGGAATCTCGGGCTTCTTATGTTTGATTTTTAACAAAGTTCGAAAGAGTCTGGGAGGCCTTCAGTGCTTTTTATAGGAAATGTGGAAGAATCTACGGAGCTTCCAATGTTTGATTTTTCAAAAAATTGAAAGAATCTGGCCCCTTATGTTTGACTTTTGAAAAAAATAGAAAGAATCTCGGACTTCTTGTATTTGACTTCTAACAAAGATTCAGGGACCCTATTGTCTTTTTTTAGAAAACATGAAAGAATTTCCGTGGATCCCTATGTTTGATGTTTGAAAAAGTTTGAAAGAATCTCGGGTTCTTTATGTTTGACTTTTAAAATAGTTTGAAGGAATCTCGGGATCCTTATGTTTAATTTTTAACAAAGTTTGAAAGAGTCAGTGCCTTTTTTTTAGGAAATGTGGAAGAATCTACGGGGCTTCCAATGTTTGATTTTTCAAAAAATTGAAAGTGCCTGACCCCTTATGTTTGATTTTTGAAAAAGTTTGAAAGAATCTCAGGTTCCTTATGTTTGACTTTTGAAAGAATTTGAAAAAATCTCGAGCTTCTTGCGTTTGACTTCTGGCAAAGTTTCAGCGACCCCAGTGCCTATTTTTTTAGGAAATGTGAAAGAATTTCAATGGATCCCTATATTTGATTTTTGCAAAAGTTTGAAAAAACCTCGGGATCCTTATGTTTGATCCTCGAAAAAGTTTGAAAGAATCTCGGGTTCTTTATGTTTGATTTTTAAAATAGTTTGCAGGAATCTCGGGCTTCTTATGTTTGATTTTTAACAAAGTTCGAAAGAGTCTGGGAGGCCTTCAGTGCCTTTTTTTTAGGAAATGTGGAAGAATCTACGGAGCTTCCAATGTTTGATTTTTCAAAAAATTGAGAGAACCTAGCCCCTTATGTTTGATTTTTGAAAAAGTTTGAAAGAAGCTCAGGTTCCTTATGTTCGACTTTTGAAAAAATCTCAAAGAATCTCGGACTTCTTGTGTTTGACTTCTAATAAAGATTCAGGGACCCTAGTGTCTTTTTTTAGAAAATGTGAAAGGATTTCCGTGGATTCCTATGTTTGATGTTTGAAAGAGTTTGAAATAACCTCGGGATTCTTATGTTTGATTCCTGAAAAAGTTTGAAAAAATTTCATTCGGCCTTCAGTGTCTTTTTTGGGAAATGTGAAAGAATCCCTGAATCTCCTTATCTTGGATATTTGAAAAAGTTTAAAAGAATCTCGGGTTCTTTATGTTTGATTTGTAACAAAGTTTGAAAGAGTCAGTGCCTTTTTTTAGGAAATGTGGAAGAATCTACGGAGCTTCCAATGTTTGATTTTTCAAAAAATTTAAAGAACCTGACCCCTTATATTTGATTTTTGAAAAAGTTTGAAAGAATCTCAGGTTCCTTATGTTTGACTTTTGAAAAAATCTGAAAGAATCTCGGACTTCTTGTGTTTGACTTCTAATAAAGATTCAGGGACCCTAGTGTCTTTTTTTAGAAAATGTGAAAGGATTTCCGTGGATCCCTATGTTTGATGTTTGAAAAAGTTTGAAATAACCTCGGGATTCTTATGTTTGATTCTTGAAAAAGTTTGAAACAATCTCATAGGCCTTCAGTGTCTTTTTTGGGAAATGTGAAAGAATCTCTGAGGCTCCTTATCTTTGATTTTTGGAAAACTTTAAAAGAATCTCGGGGATCTTTATGTTTGATTTTTAAAATAGTTTGAAGGAATCTCGGGCTCCTTATGTTTGATTTTTAACAAAGTTTGAAAGACTCTCAAGGGCCTCCAGTGTCTTTTTTGGGAATGTGAAAGAATCTACAGGGCTTCCAATATTTGAGTTTTCAAAAAATTCAAAGAATCTAGCCCCTTATGTTAGATTTTTCAAAAATTTTGAAAGAATTTCAGTTACTTTACGTTTGGCTTTTGAAAAAATTTGAAAGAATCTTGAGCTTCTTGTGTTTGACTTCTGACAAAATTTTAGCGACCCCAGTGTCTTTTTTTGGGAAATGTGACATTTTCCTCTCAACGCCGGATATATTTTGTGTTTATTTATCATGTGTGGATAAGCTGAGGACAGTCATTGTCCACGACATAAACTCTGAAAGTTAATTGTTTTAAGTAACCATTTGAAACAAGGCATAACTTCACATCACGTTCATTCTTTGTAAGAATCGTTGATAAAGTGTGGCATCATTTAACATAATGTAAATTCTTTGTTTGAACCATTAATAAAGTGTGGCATAATTTAACATAATGTAAATTCTTTCTTTAAATCGTTGATAAAGTGTGACACAATTTAACATAATGTAAATTCTTTGTTTGAATCGTGGATAGGGTGTGACATAATTTAACATCAGGTAAATTCTTTGTTTTGGCAGCGGCCATGTTGAAAGAATATTTTGAAACCGAGCACATGTTGGAAGTGTAAAATTTCGTTGAAAAAATTAACAACATTGTGGGTCATGTGGGACGTGCATTTTATTTCTTTGATTTAGAGCGTTATTTGCACAGGATTGATCGCATTTCTGGAACGACGCATTCATTCGACGCCATTTTGAACCTCCAGATTGCTTGCTATGTTTTTTTATTTTTGTTTGGGAGAATGTAAAACGATGGACCACAATGCAGCTGAATAACTTAATTTTTAAAAATTAACCAATAACTCAAATAGACACCAAATATTAATCTCATGTAATTTTGTTAGCTTTACAATTTTTCTCTATCTGACAGTTTTAGCCTTAGTAATTTTTTTTGCTGTGTAATTTAAATTGAACATAAATTTTCATGCTCTGCAGTTCCTAACTTCACATAATAGTTTTGTCTGCGCAAGTTTTATTTCACACCAGATCTTTTTTGTTCTTATAAATCTTTGCTAGTTTTTTGACCACGTAAATATTTTGTTGATTAATGATGGAACCATGTTCCATCATATAATTGTCTGATATCCTTTTTTAATCTCAGATAAAAATTCTTTGCTGTTTCAAATTTCAAGAGAGTGTATGGCGAATTTAAATGTTGTTTATTGCTCTTTTTTGAAACTTTCACATTTGTTTGGTTGTAGTTTAATATCAGAGTTATTGAAAGTGAACATTTAAAATGGAATTGACGTAAATAACACACAAACACGTGGCAGAAGCGGAGGGCGCGGTTCCTAGTCAAGCTGGCGGGATTTATCGCGCTATTTGCACAAAAGACGCAGATTTTGAATGGAAGTCAGGGGCGGCCAAGATGCTCGTACGGCATATTCGTAATGGAGGGGTGCTGTGCGATAGTGGTTGCTAGAATCACCGTCGTCCGTCGTGGTAGGAGAACAGCCACGACCAAGAGCCCCAAACTCCGCTCGTGATACAACGCCCTCTTGTTGACTGCCATACTTTATTTCATGTCTAATTATTCCTTTGCAAATTTAACAGTTGTCTTGCAGCTTGAATTTGAACATTTATTCTCGAAGTAGCTCGAGCCTAATTATGAATTTTTCGCGGGTTTTAAAATTTTCTTTACTCAACAAACGATGGCGGGATGTTTGGATAATCACAGTATTGTATTGTATATATTATAATGTAAATTATAATAAATCTGTGAACATCTTTATGAGCGAATTATTTATTAATGCTCTCATAAATTAAAAAACAAGACTACTTTTCTACAATTTTATTAAAATAAAGTAACATAGTATTATACAAAAAATATTAAAAGCGTGAAATAATTCGTTACTTTTAAATTACATAAATTATAGTGAACTTCTTGCTGTAAAGTGAGCTCACTTCAGTTCTTGTAAAATGTCATTCACACCTTTCACATTGGATTAATACTGACAACAGTAATTAATAAAGTTGTAAACGACGATAAAATTTCAGTCTATAAAACATTTTTCCGTGTATTTAATTACGTAAAATTGTTACTCATCATTTGCTCATTATATCACATATCTTAGAAATAATTTACCTCCTCAATGATGCTTAACTACAGCTCAAATTAATCTGATAATACCATAAATATTATTCTTGTAAGGTCTGCATATACAAAACTAGTACTAATTGATCACAATTAATAGTTGTGCCTGAATTACAGATATGGCAGTTTTATAATCAATACAATAAAAACAAAAAATCAACAACATTTTGGTTTAACAGTATTGCCATGCGCTATGCTCCTTATACTCAAATTTACAGTCTCCTCTTTCCCTGTATCGGTTGCTTCCAACTCACTAGAACTCGCCATTATGTTGTCAATGTTTTCACTGTCGTACACTTTTAAATTGTGATCAGTTGTGTTCCCAAACAGTCTTATCAAACCACGAGCTACATCATCAAAAACGACTCCAACTCCCTTTAAATTAAATAAGTTAGTTTAATTTAGTATGACACTGTCTATTACCTGATCCTGCATTGCTGAACATTCATGATATGAAGCGCCTATACTTCTGGCATATTGAATGGCTTCATCTCTAGTGACCTACCATTTTTTTTTTGGTAAATAAAATAAAATAGAATTGATACATACTTCTCTGTTTTTTGATAAATCAATTTTGTTTCCTACCACACACAAAACCATGGGACTCTCAACATTCCTTTGTAATTCAACAACCCACCCCTGCATACTTTCAAAACTCTGCTGTGAAGTGATGTCAAAAACGATTAAGGCGGCGTTCGCATTGCGGTAAAACATGGGGGCCATGGCTTTGAAGCGTTCTTGACCGGCTGTGTCCCATATCTTAAATGTCACGGTTCATTTTTTAAAGACAACATTGTGCACAGGTTTTACTTGTAATTTGACGGTGATGTCATCGATGAGGATCTTACAACTGAAGAAGGAAGCCCCTACGGTTGGAGTGATGTGGTGCGTGAAGGAATTTTCAACATACCGGATTACTGTACTGGTTTTCCCTACACCTAGAACAATTAAATAAATGTGTAATGTAGGGTTTTACGTTGACTACGCACTAGATAAATACTATCATCTGAACTCGAAGATAATAAACACCAACAATTAATAAAGTTAATTGAAATTAAAAATTATGAATGAAAAGCATTGTGAAATTTCTTTATTGAAACAAAAACAACTGATAAAAAATTGCGTTTTTGTGATAACTTGTTCGATGTTTATTGTTATTCTCAACAGTTTGTAAATATAGATTGGATGCTTACGATACCTTGATGCCCCAGAACGACCACTTTACCCACGATGGTTTTCATTTTAAACAAACTAAAAGTAAAGGAAAGAAACTGATAATGCACTTTAGAACTTCGATTAATTGAGGAAACTTGTGATGGTGAAGTCCCGTATTTATAGATAAGATTTATTTAGGTTATGAATTCACAGTTCTCTTGTTTTATTTTTCAAGCGCTGTCAAAATAAAATGCGTTGATAAAGTTGGAAACTGTGCACTGGATCGGCTAGTACTGGCAGTTGCGGCTAGATGTCAGGTTGATTTAAATGTTTTTAAAGTCACTAGATCTACTATTACTTTTAGAAAGTACGGCAAACTGCCTGTGGTCGGAATTCGACAGAGAGGAACCTAACCTATGTGTTAAACAAAGATAGCGCGAGGCTAGTAATTTTCGCTATCTGTCAACGAAAGGTTGATGTGTTTACGATTTGAGGTTACGACAGACTGTACTAGAATTATTGAGTTAACGGACCGGAAAGAACACTATTCCAGTCCCAAAGTAACTCCAGCCCTATTCAACGAGAAAGTGTCACCGGTAACCAGCAAACAGTCGTGGAAGACATGTTACCACCAAGGCAATTGACGGCCAAATGACAGTAACAGGATCGCCATACTGGAAGCAAAAAATACCTGCTGTCGAAAAGACGGAGCATGACAAGGACACAGATATATTTCTATTTCATAAAAGTTACTAATTGCCACACATTTCAAGATCGAGTCACATTAAATGTTTTGGGAATGTTTTCATGGGGGTTCGATTTTTTTTTCAATTTTTTGAGAATATTTTGTACCATTTTTTTCTAAAAAAAAACCCAACAGTTTTGATTTAAGACACTAAAATTTATAACATTATTTATTACCGGATTTAAGTAAGTAAATAAAAACTAACTTAAATCAAAAACCATCATCTATTTATTTCTAGACTACAATAGTTACCGAATATTGTTATTATTATATGGTAATAATTAATGGAAAAAAATCTGCTACAACCGAAACTGTTTCTTCAGTGAGGTGTTCCATTGGGAAAGCTAAGCCCAACTGTTTTATAATTTCTTGATATTAACAAATTAATTTATACATTTTCGATAACTATAATCATTATTTACGATTCTAGTACCTTCAAATAGGTACTTTGCGTCGTTAACAACAGCCACCTAATTTGTATTTCTTCATTTTTCTTGGTAAAACTTTCAAAATGCACCTTCTCGCAATATTGCACCTTCCCCATTATTGTGAGAACTAGTTAGATTGAAAACTTAATCAAAGTGGTGAATAGTTGGTTGCCTACATTTATAAAAATGCGCTGTTGAAATTTTGCTTTCAAGAACTAAAAAGTTTATGATTTAAGAGGAAAAAACTTTTTTAAAGACAGTAGGCTTTTAATAATATTACTTCTCGACTGGAAACCGACGACTTTTCAACATTGCATAACTCCTAGAATATGAAAAAATAGGACTCCCGTTTTCGTTTATATCTATCTGTCGTTTGTCGTCGGTCTGTCGTCTATAGTCTGTGTCGATTTTTATTGGATAGGTTTTTTCAGAAACTACCGAACCGATTATTGTCAAAGTTTATATGTATTTTACGAATATTTGTTCAAACATATCCACCAACAATTTGTTGACGTCACTTTAAAATTTTTCGACTTCTTGATTTTAAATTTTTCGGATTTTCAATTTTTAAAATTTTTCATTTTTCGATTTTTTAAGTTTTCGGTTGTTAAGTTTTTTGATATTTCAGTTTTCCGATTTTTATATTTATCGGTTTTATTTTCAGTTTAAATGTTTCAGTTTTGATATTCCAATTTTGGGCTATTTCGATTTTTCAAATTTTCGATTTTTTCAATTCTCGTCTTTTCAATTTCCCGATCTTTTGATGTTTCGATTTCCCGATGTTTAAGTTCTTCAATTTCGATTTCTAAATTTCTCAGCTTTTGATTTTTAGACTTTTCAGTTTTTCGATTTTCCAATTTTTTGATTTTTCAATTTTTCGACATTTCAATTTTTGGATCTTCAATTTCTCGATTTTTCAGTTATTCGATTCTTTAATTTTTGGATTTTTCACTTTTTCGATTTTTCAGTTTTCCGATTTTTTAAAATCTAGATTTTTCGATTTCTGGATTTCTGTTTTTTTTTGGATATTTAGTTTTTCGTTTTTTTAAATTATACTTTCTTAATTTTCCGATTTTAAATTTTCTAAAATGTGTTTCATTATCTCGATTTCTCTATTTTTCGACTTTTTAAATTTTGATATTTCACTTTTTTGATGTCTCGATTTGTCGATTTTTCGACTTCTCGCTTTTAGATTTTCCGGTTTTTCAATACATATTTCGATTTTTTAAATTTTTTTATTTTTCAGTTTTCCGATTTTTATATTTATCATTTTTAAGTTTAAATGTTTCTGTTTTGAATTTTTCAATTTTGGGCTATTTCGATTTTTCAAATTTCGATTTTTTCAATTCTCGTCTTTTCGATTTCTCGATCTTTTAATGTTCCGATTCTCCGATGTTTAAATTCTTGAATTTCGATTTCTGGATTTCTCGGTTTTTGATTTTTAGTTTTCGATTTTCCGATTTTCCAATTTTTGATTTTTCACTTTTTCGATTTTTCGGTTTTCCGATTTTTAAAATCTAGATTTTTCGATTTCTGGATGTCTAGTTGTTTGGATATTTAGTTTCGTTTCTTATAACTTCACTTTTTTAATTTTCCGATTTGAAATTTTCTAAAATGTATTTCAATTTTTCGATTTCTCGATTTTTTGACTTTAAATTTTGATATTTCACTTTTTTGATGCCTCGATTTTTCTATTTTTCGACTTCGCGCTTTTAGATTTTCCGGTTTTTCAATTTTTCAATTTTTAAAATGTTTGATTTTTAGATTTTTCAAGTTTTCGGTTGTTAAATTTCTTGATTTTTCAGTTATTTTCGATTTCTGGATTTCTAGTGTTTTAGTTTTTCATTTTTTTTTTATTTTATTTTTTCAATTTTCCGATTTTAAATTTTTTTAAATGTGTTTAAATTTTTCGATTTCTCGATTTTTCAATTTTGCGACTTCTCAAATTGTTTCGGTTTTGGGATTTTTCAGCTTGATTTTTAACTATTTCAATTTTTCAATTTTTCGATTTTTTAATTTTTAAATTTTTGATTTTTAAAATTTTTCTTTGATGTTTTGTTTCCCGATTTTTCAGTTTTTCGGTTGTCCAATTTTTCGATATTTTAATGTTTTCATATTTTAAATTTTAGATATTTCGATTTCTCAATTTTTCGATTCAGTAGATACATAATTCGATTTTTCTATTTTTCGAAGTTTTAAATTTTGATATTTCACTTTTTTGATGTTTCCATTCTCGATCTTTCGACTTTTCGACTCTCTTCTCGGTTTTAGATTTTTCGGTTTTTCAATTTTTCGATTTTCCAAGTTTTCGGTTGTTAAATTTTTTAATTTTTCAGTTTTTCGATTTCTCAAATTTTCGATTTTTGACTTCTCGGCTTCTCGATTTCTCGATCTTTGATGTTCCGATTTTTCGGTTTTCGATTTTTAGACTCTTCGATTTTTCGATTTTTGAATTTTCCGGCATTTTAGCTTTGAGTTTCAATTTCTCGATTTTTCGGTTTTCGGATTTTTTAAATTTTCGATTTTCGATTTCGAAAATAGAAATATCGAAGAACTGAAAAATCGAAAAATCGCGAAATAAAAACATTTAAAATTTAAAAATGGAAAAATTCAATAATCTTAAATTTAAAAACCCAAAATTAAAAGAACCAATTCCAAAACTGAATTAACGAAATATTGCGAAGTCGACAAATTGAAAAATCGAAACTTCTAAAACTTGGAAAATCGAAAAATCAAAGAGCCGAAAAGTAGTAAAATGAAAAAACTGAGAAACCGAAAAATCGGGACATCGAGAAATCTAAAAGTTGAGAAGTCGAAAAATTCTGAAATCGAAACAGACCAAAATCGAAAAGTTAAAAATTGAAAAGTTTTAAATTAAAAAGAAAATCAATAAATCGAGAACTCGAGAAATGATCAATCGAAAAATCTAAAACCTAAAAGTCAAAAAATCGAAAAGTTGAAACATTTTTAAAATCGGACAACCCAAATGTCAAGAAATCGAAACATCAAAAAATCAAATAACATAAATTTTAAAAAATGAAAAAATGAAAAAATCAAATTTTTAGAAATCCGGAAAATTGAAAAATAGAAATATCGATGGACAAAAAAAGCGAAAAATTGACAAATTGAAACATCGAAAAATCTAAAATTTCAAAATGAAAAAGTCAAAACATCAAAGAATTGAAGAATCGAAAAATTGAAAATAAGAAATTTAAACCTCAAAAAATCGAATAATTCAAAAATTCAAGAATCTTAAATTTTGAAATTTTGAATCATAAATATCGAAAAATTTAAATAACGAAATATTTAAACATAAAGAATTTGCAAAGTTCCCAAAAATAAAATGTTGAAAAATTGACAAATCAAAAACTTGAAAAATCGAGGAATCTAAAAATCGAAAAGTCGAAAAGTTTTTAACATCGGGAAACCCAGATGTCTAAAAATTGAAATAAAAATTTGTTTTGTTTAAATAGAAATATGTATCTAAAAATGAAAAATCGCGAAATCAAAACACCTAAAATTTAAAAATTGAAAAACTGAATCATCAAAAAATCTAAAAATCTAAAAACCAAGAAATCGAAAATCAAAAATTTGACAAATTGAATAACCGGAAAATTGAAGAATCGAAAAACTAAAAAACTAACAAATTGAAAAATTCCAAAACTGAAATATTAAAAAGCCCAAAAATTCCATAAATGAAAAAACTGAGAAATCTGAACATCGAAAAATTTAAAAACTGAAGCATCGAGAAGGAGAAACATCAGGACATCGAGAAATTTTAAAGTCCGGAAGGGAAAAATTTTGAAATGGAAGTAGGCCAAAATCGAAAAGTTAAAAATTCGAAAAACTGAAAAATCGGGAAATCGAAAAACTAAAAGAATTGAAGAATCGAAACGTTGAAAAATCCCAAAACTGAAATAGTGAAAAATTGAAAAATGGATGAAAAATTAAAGAAACGACTAATTAAAAACAAAAACAAAACTGTAACATCGAAAAATTGAAAAGTCAAGAAATCGAGAATCGGAAAAATCAAAAAGTGGATTTATTAATCGAAAATTTAAAAAA